TATTAATTTTTATTAATTTTAATATTTATTTAATATAATTAATTTAATAAAAATTAATATTAATTAATATTAATTATTTTAAATTATTTATTTTTAATTAATTTTATTAATTTAAAAATTTAAAATTTTAATAAATAAGTTTATATTTAATATAAATTATATCTTTATTTTTTATATTAATTTTATATTATTTTATTTATTTAATTATTTAATATATTAAAAATTAATATTTATTATATTAATTTATTTAAAAAAAAAATTATTTTAATTTTTTAAATAATTAAAAAATTTAAAATAAATTATAAAAAATTTATAAATATATATAAAATTATATAAATTTTTTTTATTTTTTATAATATATTATTAAATAAAATAAATAATTAATTTTATTATAAGAAAATATATATTAATAATTATAAATTTAAATTAATTAAGAAATAAATATTTATTTAATATATTATTAATTAAAATATATAAAGTTTTTTAATATAATTTTTTAATATAAAAAATATAATTAATTTTATATTACTATTATATAATAATAAGCTTATTAATAAATATTAAATTTAATATTTTATAAATATATAATTTAATTTAAAAACTTAATTTAATTATCTTTATAATTATTAAAAAGCGCTTTATAAAAATTTAAAAATTATTAAAAATTAATTTAAACTTTTTTATAATATAATAATTAAATATAAAATTATAAATAATAATTTATATAATTTTAATAAAATTAATTTTATAATAAATATATTAATTATATTAATAATTATTATATATATTAATAAATATAAAAAGATTAAATTAATATAATTTAAAAATTAAAAATAAATAATAATTATTAAATATATTAATATAAAAAATTAATATATTTTATTATTTATAATTATTTAAAAAGCTTATTATTTAATAAATTAAGTTATAAAATTAAGTTTTTAAAAAAAAATAAATTATTAAGCTTATTTTAAATAAATAAATAAATAATTAAATTAATTTAAAATAAATTTAATATTTTAAAAAATATATAAAATATTAAATAAAAAATAAATATTAAATATTTATTTTTAATAAATATAAAAATTATATATTAATAAATTTTAAAAATTATTATAAAATAAATAATATTATTATATTTATTTTATTTATTTTAATTATTAAATATTATATTATATTTATTTTTAAAATATATATATAATAATTAAATTAATTTTTAAAAAAATTAAAAATTTTTTTAAAAATTTAAATTTTATTATTTTTAAATTTAATATTTATTTATATATATTAAAGTAATTTTATCTTATTTTTTTTAAAAAATAAAAGTTATAAATATTATTTAATATTTATAAATTATTTAATAATTAAATTTTATTAAAAATAAAATCTTAATATATTAAGAAAGCTTTTTTATATTAATTAATTTAATTATTAATTAATTATTAAAGAATTTATAAATAATAATATATAAAATTATTATTTTAAAGAATTAAATTTATATATTTAAAAATATAAATATAATATTTATAAAGTATTAAAGAATTAAAAAGAATTAAATATAACTTAAAAAAGTATTTAATATTAAAGATTTTTAAGTAATAATTAAAAAAAAATAAAAAAAGTAATTAATTAATAAAATAAATAATAATATTAAAAATATAATTTATAATAAATTAAATAAATAATATTATAAAAATTATAATAAAATTAAATATAATATAAAAATATATAAAAAAAAAAGAAAAATTTAATAAATTTAATTTTAATTATATTATAATAAATTTAATATAATTAATATTAATTAATATTAATATATTTATTTTAATAATATATAATAAATTATATTTTTAATAATATAATTAATATTATTTAATATAATATTTATATTTTTTATGAAAAATTATTTAATTTAAACTTATATTATATTTATATTAATTTTTTTAAATTAATAAAATTAATTAAAAATAAAAAATTTAAAATAATTAATATTAATTAATATTAACTTTTATTAAATTTTTTATATTAAATAAATATTAAAATTAATTAAAATTAATAAATTAATTAAAAGTATTTAATTAAATAATATATTATATTAAATATAATAAAAAATATATAAAAAAAAATTTAATAAATTAAATTTTAATTATATTAATTAAAAATAAAGAATTTAAAATAATTAATATTAATTAATATTAAATTTTATTAAATTAATTATATTAAATAAATATTAAGATTAATAAAAATTAATAAATTAATAAAAAATATATTATTAAATAATTTATTTTATTAAATAATATATTATATTTCTTTATTTATTTATTTTATAAACTTTATTTATAAAATTTATTTAAATTTAATTAATATTAAATATATATTTTTTATTAAAAGTTAATTAATTTAAATTAATATTATATTTATAATAATATCTTTAAATAAATAAAATTAATTAAAATTAAGGAATTAAAATAATTAATATTAATTAATATTAAATTTAATTAATTTCTTTATATTAAATAAGTATTATAATTAATAAAAGTTAATAAAAGTTATAAAAATAATTTACTTATTAATATAACTTATTTATTAATAAATTATATTATATATATATTATTTTTTATAATAAAGATTATTAAATAAATTTAATATTAATATAATTATTATTTATTAAATTATAATTTTTAAATGTTTAATATAATATAAAATAAACTTAAATAAACCTTATTAATAAAGTTTATAAAATAAATAAATAAAATAAATAAAAATTAATTATATTATTATGCTTTATAAATAAATATAAGTATTATTATATATATAAAAATATTAAGACTTAAAAACTTAAATTATAAATAAAAGTTTTATATTTATATTTAAATTTATATATTTATTCTTAAATATTTATATTTTAATATTATTACTTAAATATTATAACTTTATAATTTATTATTTCTTTACTTATTATATATTATATTTATACTTATATTTATATTAATAGCTCTTTATTTTATTTTTATTATTATTAATATTTTTTTAAGTTTTTATATTTTATTTTATTAATATAAATTTTATTTCTTTTTATAAATATCCTAAACTCCTTTTATAAATATATAAGTTATTATAAAACTTTTTTAATATTTCTACCCTTATAAATGCTAATAATTAATTCCTTAAATTTTTATATTATTTTCTTAAGCCTTATATTTTTATAATAATATTTCTTTATATAAAATAAATAAAAGCTTATTTTTAGTTTTTTTCTTAAGCGCCTTATTAATAATTTAAAGCTAATTATACAGCTCTTTATTTATTATATTATTAATATATTTTTACTTAAAGCCTAAAAATAGCTTTATTATTTTATAATACTTAATTTATTTATTCTTTTTAAGCTTTATTATTATTAATTCTTTATATTTTAATATGCTTTAATTTAATGCTTATTAATTATAAAAAAATACTTACTTTTTTAGCTAAAATAATAGCAGTTTATATAAGCTTTATTAATACATTCTTTAATATTATTTATATACTTTATTTTAAGTTTTATATTTTTAAAATATTAATAAATCTTATATAACTTAATAACCTTATTATTATAAAAAAGATATATTATTATTATATAAATTTATTAAGCAATATTAAGCTTATAAATATTAAATTAATTAATATAATTCTTTTAATATTACTTAACTTAAAATAAATAAATAATTTTTTATAAATAATATTAATATTTTATAATAAATAATAATAATTAATAATTAATAAAGTTAAGATATTATAAATAAAAGTAAAATATAATAAAATAAAATTAAGATATTATAAATAATAATAAAATATAATAAATATAAAATTAAAATATTATAAATAATAATAAAATATAATAAATAAAGCTAAAATATATATAAATAATAATAAAATATAATAAATAAAATTAAAATATTATAAGTAATAATAAAATATAATAAGTAAAGTTAAAATATTATAAATAAGGTTAAAATATTATAAATAAGGTTAAAATATTATAAGTAATAATAAAATATAATAAATAAAGAAAAATAAAAATAAAATATTAAAAAATATATTTTTACTTATTTAAATATTATTAAGAAATATATATATATTATTATAATTATAAATATAAAATTTATTAATAATTTAAGTAATATGCTTAAAATTATTTAAGTAATTATTTTAAATAATAAGATTATTTATAAAGAATTAATTAAATTAAATAAAGTTCTTTAAAAATTAAAAAAATATAATTAAGTTAAATTATATATAATTAAAGATAAGAATAATTATAAATTTATTATAAAATAAAGTATTAATTATAAATAATTATAAGGAGCTATAATAAAAGTATTATGCAGGTGGGGTTATTAGGTATGGCGGATAAATGGTAGGGTGCAGGTAGTGGGAATCTGACTTTTTAGATATTTATCGCTCTGGACCGCCGTAGCCAGGCGAAGCCCGACCGGGTTTGAGGTTACATCTGCAAGTGCTGTCTTTCCCCACCGTCGTAGCGCTGCGGCAAGCTTATCTCAACTATAATACTATGGCCGATGCGGTCCCACCTGTGGCCTGTTAGACCAGAGGCATAGGCTTGAGTGAACTTGATGATTGTGCCGATAGAAAACAACAAATAGCTATGTCCGAAGAGGAAGTACCTAAGTAGGCAAGTGGCCCTTCTTTATCACGCGCAATATTTTCAAGAAAAGCACTGTCAAGTGGAGTTTCGTGACTCCACAGAGAAACACGTTGAGGGAATATTCTGTACAAAGTTCCTCAAGTCACCAGGGCAATAAGGGGCTCCTCAGAAAAGTCTTTTCATTCAACTCAGTCCGGAAGTAGTATTTGAAATAGCGGAATATCAAAGCTTGCGTGTGATCAGGAAGGCACACATGTCAGCCCTTCTGGATCTCAGGCCTTGCCTCTCTCGCACGTGAAAAGTAGTAGGAATGAATCGCAAACGCCAAATTCTTCTAGTTGCAATACTGACCCTATTATATAGGCATATCCTCAAACTCATCTGGCATAGGCAAATGCTCTATCCAGCATTGAATGGCATTGGCAAAGAGCTGTGGGAACTGCAGGTTCCAGGAGAGTATGGCCTCACGCACGTGGTAGGCGCAGGTTGTAGAACCTTCACCTCCATTGCTTTGAGATTTGAGTAGTTTTGCAGCTTCGCGTACACCATCTGGATCGTCTGACTTCCCCCCTGCAACCATACATATTCTTTTGTCAGCTACGCCAGCCTCCACGAACTGGACGTCTTGCCATTCCTTAGCATATGCGCATCCAGCTTCAGCAAGACGTGAGCTTCCGTTTCGCTTGATCGAATCCAACAACTCGTCCTTGTGGTACTCGCCGCTATACCCAGATAGTTTGAAAAACAGCGAGCCTGCTTCGGTGAATTAGTATCGTGCGACAACAGTGACGAATTCGAGCATATCCCAATGAGATGGGATAAAAGACTGTGAGAGAGCTTGAAAGACACTTACGGGAGTGCAAGATCGACCAGAGCCCAGCGTAGAGGAGTCTAGGATGCCTAGCAACTGTGAGACGCACACCTTTTTGCGGCCATGCCCCTGAAACGAAACCACTCGAAACGACACCAGGATGTCTCCTGACGATGTCCAAGACAATGAACCCGCTCGTGCCCATTCCAACGCAATGTGCACGACCATCATGAGCATGCTCTTGAATCATCGCTGCGACTAGGTCGGCACATAGACCAACTGAATAATCTTCCTTTTTGCAAATATTGCGAGATTTAGAATGGCAAGGAAGGTCTGGTATGAGCAGATGGTACTCAGCAAGTTTTGGCCATATATGCTGCCATTCGAAGTGAGAACTGACTACAATATTGGGAATTAGCTATCGTGAGCATGTTGAATACTTCCGGTTCAACGCTGGTATAGACAGTGGTTATGATCTACCCTCACATGATGACCCTGCCAAAGCTGCTACTCATCAGAGAGACGATGGGCCACAATGTGGCTAGGTGGCCCTGAAGACCAGTCTCTGCAATGAAGACTACAGGGCTGGGTCGGGAGTAAGGATAATGTGGTTTCGGGAGGGGAGACTTGACTGGGACCTTACAAAGCATATGTAGCAGGACGACTGATACAAGAGCGAATGGATTCATCTCGAGGAAGAACATGGGTTTGTTTGCTGATATTTTTGTCTCATTGCTTCCTGTCATGGTTGTGTGTAGGCTTGCCGCTTCTGAGTCTTGGTCCTGTGTCGACATTGTGCTCATCCGCCGTCCGTTGGGTGTTAGCATCTGAGGCATGGCTGGTGTTGTCTTGCTTGCTGGGCCACAGCAACAGATAGCTATGCTGCCTGCCAATTGAAGATGTTTCCCAGTTTTCGAGGCGACAATATTGGGGCTTAGAAGTTCGACTGCAAAGGGCGACTGCTGAGGCACTGCCTAAAAGCAGCTTCGGGATCGAGAAACAACTGTTTTCAGACGACGCAGATCGAGTAGTAGACTCTGTGGAACGACCGCGACACGCAGGGTTTTGTTGCCCCAGGGAGACTTTTTTGGCAGGCCCACTGGTCTGGGACACCTCCTAGTTTAGTTGCCGGCCAGGCTATCCCTGCTTGTCAGTGTCACCCACACTTCTGCAGAAGCAAGCCCCAAGTATGGGTGCACAGGCACATGGAGTGATAGGCATAAGCTCGTTGTTACGTCCCTGAGCGCCAAGAAGCAATTGAGCCTTTGGGGCTGCGCCATTGCTCCCAGTTTCTCGAGGTCTAGGGTTGCAGATCCGCAGGTGGTAACATGACTTGACTGTTTTGGGAGACACTCAAAAGTGGCCTGATAATCTCACTGGACTACGGGTCAAGGATGGCCCTTCCTTAGATTTCTCTTCTTGGGCCTGAGTGGATCAAGCCCCTTGATCTCTGGGGATTGAGTATTTACGGGGTCGCAACAACGCGCAAGCATAGGAGCAGTCTTGTGGCGTCCAGATCTTATGCCGAGGACTACAAGGGAGCCAACTTGAGGCTCACTTCGGCATCCCTAGACATCCTGAATGCGCTCTTCATACTCTGCTTTCCTTCCTTGGTTTTTTTTATCTTCTTTTTTTTCTGTCTTCTTTCGTTATCTAAAAGTGCCTTCCTGTGCAAAATAGAAAGCTTAGCGGAGCCTTTCTAGAGTCTTGAGCCGCCCAGCAAGGCATTCAGAACCGATCGGATGTAATCAGAGAAAGCAGCCATGGTAGATAGACCCACGTCTATCACCTTGCGGCTGAATCATGACTATCCACGACGCGGTCTTGCCGCTGACTCCAACTCGTGTAAATGGGGAGTCGTACCGGTTTTGGAAACTGGGAGCAGCCCTTGGTGATGCAAAACTGTGACATATGTGAGGCCAATTCTTTGATTCCACGCCATGTGGATCTGGCAGAGAGATGCTCGGTCACAGGGGGATCTCAAAGATGTGCGCGCATGCAGGTGATCGATCTTTGCCCCAGTACAGTTGCAATCATCCCGAAGCTTGTCTGCATACCGTGCAGGGACTGTGAGTCTATCCACGCAAGCACAGTACACTGTACGAACATACATGCTATCGTAGCATTTCCAGGTGGGTACTTCCCGATCGAAACGCCCCGGGAGACGACGGATGGAGTGTCATCCTGCGAATACAGGCCAGCAAACACGGTAAGTTGCTTGCGCTAGTCATGGCCTGATCCCACCTTATGCATTAATCGTGATTATCCGCTCCCGGGCACAAGTTGTGTTCATACCTCGCGCCATTTCAGAGGTTGGCGTTGGCGATCTTTCGCTACAGCATCTGAGAGCAGCATGCACGCCCGTGGGATTTGTGGAAGCACCCATCGGCTGTTGTTCCAGATACGGATTGAGACCTTCCATTGGTATTTTAGGGGTTGGATGACGTGATTATGACGAGACATGCGGAACTAATTCATCAGAACTGAAGAGGGCACCCTCCATTTCCTCTACAGCACAGTTCAGTTGATGCGTGCCGGCTCCCTCCTTCCCAGAATCTCAGGTCAAAGTAGGCACGACCCAGTTCTTTGTCCACTGCGACATGTCGACATTGCTGGGGCTCTTCTCGATTTCCCCTGGGGCTGATCCAGTCTTCAGCAAGAAGTAGTTGATGTACGCAGTCAGATCCGCCTGCTGGGAACTGGGGAACTGGCAGTGATTGTGACCGCCAACGAGAGAGAAGCCCATGTTCGTGGGCACGCCGTACGCCTTGTAGATCACCCTTCCTGCCTTCATAGCTCCAGTGGTGGAGACGGGGCCCAGCCAGTCAATGTCGTTCTCAATGACAAACAAACCTCGCGGAACCGTCATGGCTGCCAGGAAGTGATGGTCCTCGGGCATAGTCGATGTCGCCTTGGCATACGTGTTCAAGCGCGTCGAGAACCAGACATTCTCGCCAATGATCTGGCCTGCTGTTTGGATGTTGGCGCCGGCGCTCTTTTGCTGATCACTGATGCGCCAGCTCTGCAAACACAAGTCAGCGGTCAGAAACAAGGCCCAGGGCTGCTCTCGAGGGAGGAGAGTCGGGTGCTTACCGCAGCGCCACCGGATCCAGATTCTTGTGGGAGGGTCAGGGCAATGCGCTTGACGAAGGCTCCTACGATGAAAGCCCCCTTGCCATTCCGGGAACATCCCGTGACTCCAAGCCGCGTGGGGTCAATGCCAGAAGTTGTGTTTACTTGCTCCAGTGCATCGATGAGACGGTCGACCCCCCAGGCAGGCAGTGAGGGCTCCGGCACTGTGCGATGCGCCGAACAGAGTGTAGAACTTGCCCTGACCACGAGACGAGCTCGATGCCTGAGAGGCAAAGTCATCATTGTTGAAGTTGATGGTCGCCACCCCAGCAGGGATGGGGAGCGAGGAGCCGCCTATGGCGATAATAGCAGGGAAGGGACCACTCCCAGAAGGCTTGCTGATGGATGCCGAGTAGCTGACAGACTTCCCACCAACAGTTACAGCAACCGTGAGAGAGTTGCCCGAGAGCGTGCCCTTGACTGAGTCGGGCGGCGGTGGGTAGTCGCCCAGTTCATATTGCTGCATGATCTTGCTGATCTCCTGGGCCCGACAGTCAAAGTCGGCCTTGGTCGTAACCTTCTTGCCGTCTGCAAAGATGAAAGGGTCTGGAAGCTGCCCGTTGTTCACGGTCGGAACGCTCGAGGGAACGGAGCATGTCGTCTGGCGCCCGACGATCTCGGCAGCTGGCATCGCCAGTGCTGCACCAGCCAGGAGAGCTGAGCTCAACAATTTCGTGAAACCCATGATGCTTGGATGTTGATGGAAAGGCTTTGGAGGTTGATACAAGGCTGTGCTCAGTCTTGACCCGGATGGTAGGTGGGGACATATTTAACATCTTCCTGGCCATCTATCGGAACCCAGTTCTGCAACTCGACGAGCGTCATGTTACTCATGGACCTCTATCGGTCTGTTTAGATCGGCATCCCACCATCCGGTCAAAAGGAAACCAAGAGCCCCCGGGCGTCGGCTGTGTGCGATGTGTTGCATTGTAGTCGTACCAAACATCTCAATCCGACTTCAGGTCGCCCAGAACGGAGGTCTGGACTATACCGAACAACCCAAAGGGCGGTGCTCGTCTGCCAGAGTTCATAAGAGAAAGCATAATAGTCATGTATTCTCATAAAGGTGACGGCATTACCAGGACAGGGTAAGTATTCAGGCTATTTGTGAGCCCTAGAGCTGTTTTGCCGGTCACCTATCATTTTGCCGCCCTTAATGAGGGCTCATTACTCCGCTCGAGCCTTCCGGCAGAAGGAATCTAGAGCGTCACTCAATGATCTGTTATATATCCCTTCTAAATGCTGAGACTTCCCAGAAGCAGACACGGCGTTTGAGGCGCCGACTTGGCTCCTACTCAGTTGACCATCGCTGAACCAACCTTCTTCACAAACATTGAATTCTTGAACAGAAGCCGCGAGAAAGCTTTCTCATCTGCCCTATGCAGTCTTTTAAGGTAGCTGGCCCATAGAGAACCACAATTTTCCGAGCAACACACTTTTCGCAAAGCTTCTATCTCTCCATTCATAGAAACCTTGTCCATCCTTGATCCGCAGCACACGGAGCCTCAGCCATGAATTATAGGCTTGAGTGATACTGCACACCCATATAGACAGCTTTGATCATTCTTCTGACGTAAAATCCTAACATTGATTTGCATAACTTTGAAAAACCCTGCTGTCGAACAAACTGCTCCCGGAACGGTCAACATGGAAGAGCCACTCACTCTAATGGATTTTATCATCGATCTAATCACGAACTCTACGAGGATCTCAAGTCGAGAACAGGGCCGTAGCAGAAATTCCCAATTTGGGACCAAGGTACGTGCAACGCCGTCCAGGACAGCAGCCAGGACGGCACTGCGGAGCACGTGGTTTTTATAGTTTTTTCTCGGCGGGGGCTGAAGGAGCAAATGGTCAAAGTTGCCACTACTCTTACGGCAGTTGGATCTGACATGGACCAGAACGTCAGCTTCTCGTCTTTTTAGTCGCGGATGAGATGACACACTGTGACGTCGTCTTATGCATGTCATATCATCTACTGTCCAACACCATTATCCGACCACATGCGCTTGACCTTGTCTTGGGATCTGAAGCCACACCGAGGCTGAAAAGGTGGATATTTTGTGTCTTCGGACTCATTTGTTCCATCGAATTCTCGGCACATCCAGACTCCCACTGTCTCGTGGCGCACAATAGCCCTGGATCGTCATTTGACAGCTCTAAATGGTCGATATCCAAGATTCTGAAAGTCAGAAGAAGCCGGTAGTTGAGAAGATTGCTATGGAACATTCGCACAATTACGAGAAATAGCTGCAAAATCGCACTGAGGTGAGAGTGAAGCATGCTTCGGGCTCTCACACAGCGCGTGTTCCCTATCTATTCGCTATGTTTAGGGACCAAACCCTAGGATCACATTCATCAAGGTTCCTACTTTGCTGGTCACCATACTCCAGCCCCCATCGGAAGCAATGCCATCCCTGAGCTTCGGAACGCAAAGACTGCAGCAACTTGTGTAGGATCGCTTTCGAGATAGATCAATACTGCAGACTGTCTAAGGACAGGAGACTATGAATGCACCTAATATCATGTTGTGGTGTCCAGCTTCTTGATCAACGCCTCTAGGTTGACCTGCATCTCGTAGAAGATGTTGATAGCCTGGATTATCTTGCCTTCACTCGTGCCCCTGCCACTGCGCGTGAAAGCTAGCCTCCAAGCACTCTCATCCTGTAGGATTGCTGTATAGTCCTCGTCGGCAGTATTTTCAGCCGTTTCCAGGACAGAACCTATGTCTCCCTCGTAGTCATTGCAACGCGTATCAGATAGTTGGGCGAGAAGAGGCGGAGAAACAGTGATGTGGTCAACGCCTGCTAGTACCAGGACCTCGTTCATTGATGTCAAGGATGCAGGAAGAACTTGAGTCCTCGCTCCGATCCTGCGGTAATAGTGCTGCGCTACACCACAGAAAGCGAAAGCTTTGTTTTGATCGACGTAGCTTGGCACAAATTATTAGTCCAGTTTTGATAAGACCAGTTGCTGCACAAGCAAGCGCCTGTGCCGGTTCCAAGGGCGGTTCTCCAGTCTATGCATGAGAATGCACATGCCTCTGGATATAGACTTACCCTTTCTCAAAATGAACCTTTAATTCATTGACATATGGCGCGATGTAAGTGCAGTTGACTGCAGCTGCCAGCGCAGCCTGCTCCATGCAGAACATCGTGGTCGCTAAGCAAGCAATGCCGCGTTGCTCAAGCTCACGACAGGCCTGCAGGCCTTCCCACGTCGCCGGAATCTTGATACAGACGCGTTTCGTATCGTATGAAGGTGCCAGATGCTTGAAAATAGAGACAATCCCTAGAAAGAGATTGGTCAATACATTCGAGCAATGAAACTATTGACGGTCTTGTATGCAGTTCTCGACGTACTCTCCCCATTCTGAATGGTTTTCTGCACATCGTATGACCAACGGGGATTGGTCTGGATATGTGAGTAACCAGTCAAGTTTGGCACAATAGCGAGTGCCAGTCGGACCATGGCAAAGTCGACCGCGAGCTCTTCCAGAGCTGCGCCAGACTGCTGAGCCAACATCCAGTGTGCATCTCGAATGCTGTCTTGGATGAGCTGTTCGTGGACGAGCTTACCACCGGCGCTAGTCTTGGTGAGTTCGGAAAAGGCGATGGCCTGTTGGCAGATATGGAGTAACCAATGTCAGAATTCTCGGGTGCCTGTTGTGACGCTCGCGTAGCATGGCACGGACCTGGTTCGATGTACAGTCAACAAAAGGGCCCAGCGTCTTGGCCACTGGCGATGGGTTAGTCAAAAGTTCGAACTGTCAGAAGACGAGCACACCACCGATGTGTGCCTATCAGCTCGGAACCCTGCAAGCTAGCCGGCAGCTCTTCCGACCGACTTGTAGGCACTGGATCCTTCGATGCCGGCCACCTTGTCCTTGTTCTCAACAAGCACTCACCTTCACTGTCAAGTGTGTCGCAGTCAACCGCGCTGAGCTCGCGGAGCTTGTGCAACAATGTGGTTGAAGACATGCCAGTTACTGGTAGGCAAGGAGATGGTGTGGTCAGGCAGTTTGAGTTAAAGTGAAGCTTAGCAATAACCGACCATGAAGCACCACTTTGGTTTGGTTTGACACTGCTGTGTGTTCATGTGAAGCAAGAACACCTCAACATTTCAGTAGTCGATGGTATCCACGGGACTGGCAGCACAAAGTGGAGAGGGGTGAGAGTCACCCGTCTGGTTAGGGCAAGACCTCGCCGGCGATGGTAGTCACAAGCCCGGCAAGCCCCAGATGCCCTCACTGCCAACCGTTACCCCGCCTCGATTTGCTTGCCTTGCCAGGCGAGAACCAACGACGTGGTCGCTGGCCATCCTTGCAGCTGGCCTGCCCCGGTCGGAGAAGGATGTTGGGCCGTTGCGGAGCCGGTCCCGATCGGGCGCCGCAACCCTCCCCCCCCCCCCCCCCCCCCCCGTTCGGCGGCCCCCCTCCCTCGCCCCCCCCGCGTTCGGCCCCCCCTCGGCTCCCCACTCTCCGAGCACTCGGCGGCCACTGGCACGTCCGAGCCCGAACAACGGACGTCGGCACAAAGGTATTTTGGCGAGCCCAATTAGCAGTGCTTGTCGCCCGTAAGTTGAGCCATGCGACAAAGAATGGCTGATATGTACTCTTAGTGGTCCCTTCCTTCTATACGAAATAAGACGGTGGCACATTTCACTTACTTCAGCACACGGACGAAAAGAAGAGCAGGGCATGCCTGACATTATATATGCCCAGCGCCGAGTTGGCCGCACCCTTAGGTGACGCAGGCGGCCTGTGAAGCCCGGACTCAGACCGGAAGCGAAGAGTTGAGGTAGACATATGGAGGTGACGAGGAAGAAAAGGAAAAAAATATATATATAGAGACACAGGATTAGGCCTCGCACTGTTTCCGGGGCACCGCCAGTGCTCCATTGAATGACTGTGTCATGTTCATGGGCACCCAACAGTCTAGCGCGAATTACACGCAATCAACACTTGTTAGGGGACGGCTTCTTGCTCGCGGCTGCGGAGCATCCCGCGGGTAGCTCTCATCGAGTGGAGTTGTGATGCCGGTGTAGATGCCGGCGTAAATGCCGGCGTAGAGTATTACTGTGCAGAATGGCCTTGGCGATTGGCGATTTGGGCCCCAGCGAGGACGGCCTGCAAACAATGCAATGCAGACCGCCCGCACTAGTGAGGTACGTAGCGGTACAGACATGCGTCCTGGGCTCGGACTTGCCCCGGATTTACACGTACCGTACCCTTTGCCTGAGCAGTACGATTCAAAGAAGTTGAAAGCTCAGGGCCAGCCAGATCACCAATGTCCCCCCGGATTGAGGTTTGTGGGGTGGTTTCCAGAGTAACTACATGTCTCTCTGAGCGGGCAAGATCAGTATGCCCTGACTAGGATTCGAGATGACCCCAAAACTCCCGCGACGCGATTTCATCTGTTCTGGGCGGACTTGTAGCCCGGACATCCCTGGTGTGTGGGGACCTGCCACTGCATGTAACGACAAGTCCATCGACTTCCAAGTCCCGTGCGACAGTAGCCGCGATGGCAAGCTGCGGCAAAGCCTAGTGCTACCAAGCACAGCACTGAAGACGGTCAGTCAACGGGGCGCTCAAGCCACGCCGACTGCGTACCCACAATGCGTTTCGTCATCGGTGCCTTGCACTTCACGTACTGTGTATCCCTGGAACTCGGTTCAACTGACCGTTCCGGACGGGGCGTTCAACATCCCCGAGAGAGGCTGGTATTTAAACGGCGTCTCCCAAGACCAGCATTTTGTGTCCATGTTGATAGCCCTCGCAGCGGCGCCTGTTAGTGTTGAATCAACGCCAACATGTTTCTCCTCTATGTCCTCGCCCCACTGTGTATCGTGGCACTCTTAATCCGCCGCCTGTACAAATTCAGAAACTACCCAGACGCGCCTGGGCCAGCAATAGCGAAATATACGCGTTGGTGGTATCTGAAGAAAGTATATGAGGGCAAATTTGAACAATGGGATGTGGACCAACACGCCCGTCATGGTATGCACCAGTCCGATTTTCAGGTTCTGCTCGAGTATATTCAGACGAGGTAATTCATTGCTCACATTGTCCACTGTCAAAAAAAAATAGGACCGGTCGTTCGCGTCGCTCCGCAAATGTACAGCATTGGCGACCCAGCAGCCATGAAACCTATCTACGGCATTGGTTCGCCCTTGAGGAAGTCGTCGTGGTATGACTACTGGGGGGACCCCCGCGTACCAAATGATAACCTGTTCTCTGCCCATGATCCTTCCTTCCACGCTGCGATGCGAAGGAAGATGGCCAATCTTTATACAATGACAACCATTAAATCATACGAGCCCTACGTCAACAACTGCGTACGCGTGCTGCTAGAGCAGTTTGACCGATTCGCCACAAAGGGTGAATGGTTCGACCTCCAACACTTCACACAGTGTTATGCGCTTGACGTGATTGGGGAAATAACCGTCAGTTCACTCCCACACAATACTAGGGCTCAACTCGACCTTGTCACTGACATCCCCGTGTCTCATTCATGCAGTACGGCAACCGATTCGGCGTTCTAGACTCCGGTGGTCAAGACGTCGATGGTATACTAGCGTCGCTCGAGAATACACTAGCCTTTGCAACACTGGCCGGCATTGAGCCGAGATTCCTCCCGCTCTGGTTATCGTGGTACGGAAACCCAGAGCGTCCCATCCGGGCGTTCGACACCAGGCAGCAAGAGTTGCGACGAGAGAAGGGGGCAATCAATGGTGCAACAGACTTTTACACCAAGTGTGAGGCACTAGGAAACAAGGACCCGGCTGAGTGGGCGAAATATCGAGGTTCGACGGCGATGACTCAAAACGTGGCAGCCGGCAGCGACACAACGAGCATTGCACTGACAAGCGCAATTTTCCATATCATCAGCAACCGAGAGATCTATCTCAAGCTCAAAGAGGAGATCCGAACTGCAGAGGAACTAGGCAAGGTGGATGACCCAATCACTTTTGACCAGGCGCAGGCGTTGCCTTACCTCGGCATGTGCATCAAGGAAGCAATGAGAATTCATCCATCCACTGGTCTGCCGCTATGGCGTGTTGTCCCAGAACCAGGAATGACTATATCAGGCTCATTCTTCCCTGCAGGAGTAGGTCCAAGTTGTTAAGCTTATACAATGCAACAGATTGCTGACGGAGTGCGGCACTACAGGCAATAGTGGGCATCAACACTTGGGTAGCCCATCGTGACCCCCAGGTGTTCGGCCCTGACCCTGATGTCTTCCGTCCTGAAAGATGGGACCCCGAAACCAACGACCAGGAGAAGCTGAAGCAAATGGAGGCCTATTACAGTAAGGTCACACCGCCCTACCTTGAACGTCCCTCCATTCTAACGCCACCGTCGTCAGTGCCTTTTGGAGCTGGGACGAGAACATGTATTGGCAAGAACATCTCTCTTCTAGAGATATCCAAAGTTATCCCGCAGCTGCTAAGGCGTTACGACTTTGAATTGGCAAGGCCAGGCCAGCCGATAGATTCGTTGAATTACTGGTTCGTCAAACAGCGCAACCTGCTTGCAAGGATTCGTCAGTGAGCGGCACAGAGTCTTATTCTAGTCTTTTCATGGCTCCCGTACATAATGCAGTTGGGACAGCAGTCTGTACATGACCAAGAACAGGCGGTAGGCGCTGTTACTCTGGTATCTTATGCTCGCTCGCAGAGGCACCAGCCTTCCAATGATATTTTGATGCCACATGCTCGTCCAGAGGCACCTTTTGCCCCGGTGAATTATAGAAGTTCTCCCTATAAGTGCCTCCCTCAATATACCCGTCCCAGAACAACCCTCGGGCTTTGAGCTCGGGCAGTAGCAGCTCTATGATATCCTTAAACGAGCCGGGAAACAAGGCATATGCCTATATGTGTGTCAGTCGCCAGGAAAATACCAGTCGCATCGTCTGAATCGGGATTGAACACGTCGCAACTCACAAAGTTGAATCCATCAACATCAGCTTCCTCCACCCAGGTCTCTAACCCTTCGGCGACCTGAGCTGGGGTTCCAATAAGCACTGGCCCATTGCCACCAATACTGACATGTTCAGCGACAGTATGTTTAGTCCATTTTGAATCCCGAGGCGCGAATCTAGCATACCCTTCGACCGTTGATCTGCTGTGAGTCAGCACATATTATCGCAGCTAGCCAAGACCCGGACCGGCGGCATCTTGACACTCACCTCACGGCGTTGCTTTCCACCTGGCGCAGCTCCTCTTCATCTCCGTATTTGCTCAAGTCAATACCGGTCCACCCTGCGAAGAGGGCGAGAGCGCCCTCATGAGATGCATATTGCCGATAGTCCTTTAGTTTCGCCTGTGTCTCTTCCTCGGTTCTGCCTAGGATAGGCGTCACAAGCGCCAGAACTTTGAGGTTGGATGGGTTCCTTCCGAACTGGTCGCGGGCGAGCTGGCGAACCTCGGCAACGTTCTTTGCGCACACCTGGGGTGAGTGTGCTGAAACAAAGATCGCCTCTAGTTATGAGCAGACTGTTAGACGGCTGCCGGTTTCACTTAAACGGTTGTGTCCCGCGAGCTTACCTGCGTGTTGGGCCGCAAAGACCTTGCCAGCGCGTGATGTTCCTGCCTGTAAGAGAAGCGGCGTGCGTTGTGGACTTGGCTGCACAATATGTGGTCCTGGCACGGTCAAGAATTTCCCTTTGTGGTTGATCTGCCTCACCAGATCGGGAGACGTGTATATCCCATTCTTACGATCCAGCTGCACCGCATCATCCCGCCAGGACGATTGGAAGAGCTTGTACATGACCTTTATGTACTCTTCAGCTTGTGCATAGCGATCGTCATGCTGCGGCTGCTGCGTCTGCCCCATATTGCGTGCCGCAGAGTCGAGATAACTGGTGACAACATTCCAGCCAAGTCGGCCTTTGGTCAAATGATCGAGGGTTGACAGCCGGCGAGCCAAATGGTAAGGCTGTTCGTACGTTGTCGAGACCGTCACGCCAAAGCCGATACTGCGAGTTGCAGCAGCCATCGCAGAAATCACGGACAACGGCTCATTCACAGGCCACTGGGCCCCAGATATGACAGCTGGATCCAATGACTGCTTATACACATCGTAGCCACCCAGAACATCGGCTACAAAGATCCCGTGGAATTTGGCCTCCTCTAGCATTTTCGCGAGTTCAACCCAATGATCCACATCTGTGAATCTCCATGACTGGTCTTCTGGGTGTCTCCATAACCCTGGCGACTGATGCCCACTGCCTGAGATCACATTGTCAGCCTTGGTAAAAGATGCCATGACAACCGTAGCGGCCTGAACGGACTTACACATTTCGACAAACGCATTGACAACAAGCCGCTTCTTGGCCTTCGCCCCGCCACTATTTTCAGAAGCCATTGTGTATGGGTGTCAGGCTTGTCGAGTGGCCCAGTGCTGTTTGAACGGTTGCACACGTGGGACGGGGCTGGTTGGGAACGACCAACAAGCAAGTGAGTAGAAAAGGCATCAACTAGCGAATTCCTTCAACAATTTTGACTGGTTCAGGCTTGCCTTCTACTCATTTCACCTTCACAAAACCGGTCCCAATGCTGCGGGCCGGGAAGATCGCGTGTCGGGTTGACAGCAGGTCCAACACTCCTAACGGACAATTGCGCCATCGCCGTGCGGATGATGCACTCAGCTCCGGCCAACCCCTCGATGATGCAACCGCATTGGACCAACAGGAGACATCAGATACGGACGAGCTTCCCCACAAAAACCCTTTTCTGCGTGGGATTTCGCAGCGGTTCCTCGTCATCAGGGGGGTCTCTCCGGCTACTTGGCGATCTTGTGGAGGGCGTGGGGGAGACGAGAAAGCTAGAGGATGATGAAAGATGTCAGATCTTTGCGCCATACCTCGAGACTGGGTCTCGGCTGTCGCATCACGGCCGTCTTCGGACGTGTTTGTAATCACGGATCGGTACGGATCATTTCCTCTCTGCCGCTCTGCGTCCTCTCAATTGAGCAGGGCCGCGGGAATTCTGGAATAGCTCTCAGTGCCACATCACACGTGAATCCAAGCGGCAAGCTTTCAGACTCGGCGTCGTCTCTCCTCATCCCTACAACAGACATATATTCCTGCCGGATTTCTGTTGAAGAATGAGTGGCTGGTCAATATTTCGAAAGTTCTCTGGGAAGAAAAGAAAGGCATCGGCCATCGGGCTCGCAGATCCGGGTGACACCGTCCCTCCCGCCACCATGGCACCAATCGCAGTCCCCGAATCACAGACCATTCTCTTGCTGAAAGGGCCAAAACAGCCATATGAGCTGGTAGAGAACTATCCTATCCCAGAGCTCAACGTGGGTTCCGAAGTGCTGGTCAAGACTCGGGCGATCGGCCTCAACCCCATAGACTGGAAAGCACCGTGAGTGCACTTGCACCCGCCCTGCCTCATGACCGTACTCACACACGAGCAAGTGCGCTGATCCGGAACGACCCTGCAGTGATTTCAACTTCGCAATCCCAGAGCTACCTTACATTTCTGGAAGGGAGCTTTCCGGAGATATTTGTCGAGTTTTGGATTCGTCCTCTCGTTTGAAACTCGGTGACCGTGTAAGACTTCGAAGCACAGCGAGAATCCAGCGACCATTACCAGTGACTGACCATGTCACAGGTGATTGCTATATCAACCGACTACCGTGATCTGCGAAAGGCAGCTTACCAGGAATTTGTTGTTAGCTTTGACTACAACGTGGTCCGGCTACCCTCTGCTCTGTCCTACGAAGAAGGGTCGACGCTGGGCGTGGCTTTCGTCGCTGCATCTTTAGCCCTGGGTATCTGCATGGGAGTTGACTTCAGTGATGTCACCAACGGCCCTGATCTTTTGAAACTCGTCAAAGCGGCCGATCCAGACTCCATTCCGGAGGATGTCCGGGCAGAAACTTTGAGAGGCATCCCAGAGCACGAACGTGCAAAACCTGGTGACTGGATCGCCGTTTGGGGAGGTAAGTGCGAGGTGTGTCTTTTGCATGGTCTACAAAAATCTGACGAAGGTTTCGCGCAGGCTCAGCAACATCGGCCAATCTTACTGTTCAGCTTGCAAGACTCGCAGGTCTGAAGGTGGCCACTATCGTGGACAGTGCCAGGCATGGTCTGCGAATCTCAAACCATAAATCCATTCGCCCAGATCTCCTGATCGACAGCCATGATCCGCAAAGAGCCATTGAGGTCCTCAAGGCCAATGTGGGTGAGGATTTGAGGTTTGGCATTGATACGCGCGGCAAGGACACAGCTGCGAAATTATTAGAGGCCCTGACCGAGAAGGGTGTGTCCGGCGGCACGAGACCACCGTCACCTCCAGCCACCCCGCGCACGTCCTCGACTCTATCTGCCCATCTCATCGGGTTGACCGGACTGCCCAAACAGGCTTCGGTTGAGGGAGCTGTGATGCACTCGGTACCCATCAAGCTGTTTCACGAGGTGCCTGCAGTTGGGAATGCTTTAGTCACTTGGCTCGAGAGGTTACTTGCTCAAGGCCTAGTCTCACCCCCGGAAATCATCGACATCGAGGAGGGTCTAGAGAATGTGAACGCAGGTCTTGACCGAATGAGAAAAGGGGATATTAGGGGCGGCAAGTTGATTGTAAGACTGGACGAAGCACAATAGAATTAGAGGACCTGTTAATAGATGCATTGTTCACGAGGCTCCTCAGGCCAGACTACTCTGAATCATTTTGGTTGTTGTACATAACTTTATGATGAAGATGAAAGGGACATCTTCCAAATGTTTCCATCACTATCCTAAACCATTTGCAAGCAAAACCACGTTACGGAATAGAGGAATTTTCATGTTGCGCCGGCAAAAAAAAAAAAAAAAAAAAACACGGATACATAATGAGGATGATGAATTGAAACAGTCTTTGGGAAACATAAAATTGATTAAGTTAGAAGAAATACGGAGACGAGATGCTAGCCGAAGATCTCAGTCCAGCCCAGATAAAAGTCGACACTGAAATGTGCGCCGGACTTCAAATAAATACAATATGGCCGTAGATCCACCGTCTCTCAGAGAGTGATCATTCTCCAAGAGACCTGAAATACTGCAGAACAGAATAGCAGCCTCTATGTGAATCTAATGTACCTCTCTGAGACCTGTTTCCAATATCCTATTGTATACTCTACTCCAACCCTGCCACAGTGCGCTGTAGTTATGAGATTCCATCCTTGGTCAGGACGCCCTTGTCGTCAGATGTATCAGTATCTACGGCTGATGCTACAGCTTCAGTCGAGCCTGTAGCTCCCACACCAAATTGTCTCACAACCAACCACGCAGGAGCCACGGCTACAGCCCATAGAGCGAAGTTCATATAAACACCCCCATGCTCCGCGAAGACGGTGATGGACTCGAGGCCGTAACTCAGCGCCTGCCACGCTGATTCTGTTCCTCGAAGGAGAGCGGCATGTCGAATGACCTGAGGCTCATCTCCGCCGGCGAGGTTTTGAACAACAAAGTATCTACCAAGCAAATATGTTACTCAAACAGATCCGGGGATTTCGATATCGAGCCACTGAAACTCAGAGTCTGGAGTCACTTACAAGTACAAGTAATTCAGTTGAAAGCCAACTGTCAAGAAAACGAAGACTCCAAAACCTTGGCCAAAGCCCGGGTCTGACCAATCATACGTTGGGTGGGTTAGACTGAATTTGGTCACCATCACTGTAACCCATATCCACCATGCACCTTGCAAAGTGACAATGACGGCAAAAGCGAGTCGGGTGCGACGCTTGAGAGGAATGTTTGTTCGGTCGATCCAGTACTGCGAGCAGAAAGGTCAGTCACGAGGGGCTACTCTCAAAATTTTTAACAAGAATATCAGCTCATGGACACTCACGCCGAGCAAGTTGCCTGTGATAATAGCTGCCAGACCACCCACGAACGACCCCAACGCTCTGGCGCGAACACTGAACCATACTGTTCACACAAGATTGTTAGAGTGCAAGAATAGACTGAATCATCAGTTTCAAGGACTCACAAGACAGGTACGTGAAGAAGACTGCTTCTGCGAAGACTGCTTGGCCGATGAACGGCACGATTAATAGGAACTTTTTGGTGAGGAAAAGTCTTGCGGTCTTTTTCATCTCGTACCAAGGATTCTGAAGAATTTCCAAGCTGACTTTCTTGCCGTCTTTTCGCTGCACTTTATCAGGTTTGTTGAGTAGAAGAGCGACAAATGGGCCGGCGGCTTGAATTGCAATGAAGAGGATGTAGACCGTGTAGCTGACTTGACCCGCCTGATCTCGGTCGGCATTGAGACCCAAGTTGACAGCTCCACCGATGATCTGCCCTGACAATCGGTAGGTGAGCCAATATCCCAAGGCTTTCCCCTTGTTCCATGGCTCAGGATACGCGATCGCAATAGCTGCTTCTGCCATCCAAAACACACCGGCTGATATACCGCAGAGTGCTGCCCCGAGGAGTAAAAGCCAGTCCACATCGTATCTGCTTTTCGTGTAAAGGCCAGCAGCATAAGGAGCGTACCCGATACTATGATTGAGAAGAGAGATCAGCATCAGAACTCAAGCACAAAGCGCGTCGTTTCCTAGAGAATCTCGGTCGGTATGGGTCGAAGGGGCACACCAGAACACTCACGTCCCAAAGATCAGGGCGCCCTTTATCCCGATGTAATGCACCATTGCACTTGAGAAAAAGCACGACACGACCATCAAGCAGAAGGTCAGCGCGTTCGCCGCATTTGAAAGGGCAGGACTGGCGGTCCCGCCAGCCCCGAGCGAATTCATTGCTGTCCATATTCCAGGGGCTGCAAAGTTGCAAAGCCCCAGTATCGTTATGTTAAAAAAGGTTGACCGGTACCATTTCACCTTGACCTCGCCTTTTGTCATTGTTAGTAGCAATTCGGCTCGCAGTCTGGTGATATTCTCACCGGAGAACTGGCGGGTCTCACCAATAGGCCCATTGTAGGGCTGGGATTCTGATGTGACAGTCATGGTATGCACCAGACGGCGTCAGTGACAAGTGATGGGACGAACAGAATATTGTGGAGGCAGCCTCAATCCTACCGTAGCAGCGCTGAACTTGTTGGTCGGCTGGGGCTGGCTGACTTGATATTGGTCTTTGCCTGACGATTTTTGTGGGTGCAGCTTTGCACCGCAGTGGCTTCTAGTCTCTCGCACCTGTATCGGCATATGCTGCCAATCGGTCTCGTTCCTTTCCGATCATGCAATTTCAGGTTTGTTGCCGAGTGAAGCACGCCATTGCCATGCAGGATGGCAAACCACGTTCTATCAACTAAACATCCAGCTACGCAAACTCTAGTCTCCACTTGATCGGTCACGAAATGCCCAGGGTCGGAAACGCGACATCTCAGTAATGTTGAAACTCTGAAGACGAAGCCTTAAGGGCGGGCGGATTGCGCCGATGAATATTGTTTGAGTCAAAAGGATGATATATGTGAGTTCAATCGAGTTTTCACCAGTGCATCCCATCTGCCACTGCTACTCTTGTTTAGACTCTTGGGTGTTCAGGGACAGGACTGAGTACCGGCAACATACGGGTTCACCATGTATCTAATAGCTAGAGCACGACCCCCACCACACCGTCAACTGCCCATGACTGACTGACTATATTTGGATATGTACCACCCGCCTGAGGTACCTGATTGATGATGCGATGACTTATGCATCTTGGAGCAATCACGCGTCACCATCCCATGCCCAAGACCGAGGCCCTACGGTAGTTGCCACCAAGACTCATGATGGTCCTTCAGGTCAACATCTTGAGGCGCCTTCAAATAGCTCGTCATGTCTGACTCTGGGTCTTGCTCTGCTCTTGTTCCTCCATTGCCGAAGTACCACAGCAGACTGTTACCTTGGCTTTCGGCCAAGTGCTCATATTCGAAGTCTTCCCACCGAGGCTCCCTCCTGATGGCAGTGATATGGTTTGAACTACCTGGCCAGATGCCATGAATTCTCGCTCCAGGAGTTCCGCCATTGTACCAACTCGAACATCCTTCGACCAAGACAGTCTTGGCGAAGAACGCATCGCAGTACTCGACAAAATCATCCGCGGCCTTCTTCTTCGGCGTGATGGATTTGATGCCCTCCCGTGAGGCTTTACGCAGGATCTTTGCATAAAACGTGAGCTGCGTCTCAACACTCTGTGGAACTGTTCCGCTTGGTCCAGTCGCATGTGGACCATGAACAAAGAACAAATTTGGAAAGCCTGGTGTTGCTGCTCCTAGGTAAGTGTACGGGAATCCGTATTCTCCACCTGGGCGCCACAATGACGAAAGATCGCGGCCAGAAGCTCGAATGGAAAATGGAGGAATCATGTCTCCGTTGGCCCCCGTGGCGCAGAAGATCGCGTCAACATCCCGTTGCGTACCATCAGCAGTCTCGATGCCGGTTTTGGTAAATCTTTTGATAGGTTGGCGTATGAAGTCAACGTTAGGCTCCTGAAGGGCTTCGAGATAACCAGGACCGGGTGTCAGGCGACGACAGTTGGGGCCGAAGTCAGGTACGAGCTGCTCCAATAGTTCCGGCTTCTTGGAGAGACGAGCTTTCATGGTCTCGGTAAAAAATTGACGAACATTATCGTTGGCCTCCCCTTTGAGAAAGGTTGCAAATTTGCGCCAATACTTGTCCTCCAGCTCCTTCCTAAACGCGAGGTACGACTGAGGATCCTCGAGAGACTTCTTTTTCTCGTCTGGGATGGGCTGGGGCTCAAGTGTTCGCTCATCACCTGCCCAGGATGCAGCAATCCAAGTCTTGCTTCTGGCGTAGTGATCCAGCCTAGCCACCTTGCGTTGAAGATTTGCAACCAGCTGTATGCCACTGGCTCCATTGCCGATCACAGCGACACGCTTGCCCGTTGGATCAAAATCAGGATCCCAATGAGAAGCGTGTCGCAGAACTCCAGTGTAGTCCGACAATCCAGGATATTTGGGTAGTCTCCATGCATTAAATCTCCCGATGCAAGTCAGCACGAAGTCCGCGCTATCCTGGACCAAGAGACCGGATGCAAGGTCGTTTATTTTCAGAGTCCAGGAGCCGGCCGCTGCGTCCCAACTGGCATCTTCGACTTGGTGTTGAAACCTGGCGTATTGGTAGACATTACACTTCTTTGCCACTGACTGCCAGTAGTCTCTGATCTCTGCACCGGGGGCAAATTCGTCAGACCAGTCGGTCTTCGGACTGAATGTGGACTGATAGACGTGACTGGGAATATCACAACGCACTCCGGGATACGTGTTCTCGTACCAAGTGCCCCCCTAACTCTGTCAGAAACCAATAAAGATTATTGTAGTCTCACTGCGACTTACAAAGTCAGGGTTTTTCTCATAGATAACAAGTTCGACGCCAGGAACCTTCTGCGGCAACAAGCACCCTGCCAGGATACCCGCTAATCCTCCCCCGATAACGATCACCTTTATCTTGCGGGGCTCATCCACAAAGCGGTCGATCAGGTTCACTCTGGATCGAGGGTATTGAAGATGCTTAGCATCTCCATCCAGCAGAGGTGAGGTTGTGCTGGAGCCATGTTCAGGCTCGGCCGCAGCGAGTTTCAGCGCGACATCCACCTCAACAGCGCTATTTCCAAGCGCAGTTTCGGTGTTGTGCGACAGCGTACCGTCAGCTGTTGCAATGGGAGCCATGTGGGGAGTATTGAGTGTTGGAACAATCCAGATCAGAGAAGGCCGTTTCGATGAAATATGTGCTTGAGTGCCTTGGCAGTCTTGAGGTCGATGCAGAATATCAGTGCCGCAAGTTCTGTTTCAGCTCAATTCTGGTCTAAGCGTCTAATTTTTGGAATGATAAATGTAAGTCCTCCTGGTGGATGGATCCCGTAGTCGCCATCGTAGTACATCTTTACGGCTTTGCCATGGGATAGTCGGCCGGGCTGCCGCTGCCGCATGGCCGGTGAGCACGTCAGAGCACGTCGAAACTCGGAACGCTGACACCATCCCCACCGGCCGCGTTTCGGAGATAGAGATACAGTAGGGTGACTTTACCACTACTAGTAAAACTCAGTGTCCAATCTCAGAGCAAATGAGCTTCTCTTCATGTGTCAGATATTATCACGACATCGACAGAGTATATCAATTTCTCCGCTGTATCCACTGCACCCACTCAAACTCCCCCGTCAAATCTACGCATATTTCTGATCAATTACGGCGTTGTGACCAGTGGGGTAAAGCCCCTGCCTGCGATTCTTCCAAAATGTCTTTAGACGTACATAAGTAGTGCTTTCCCAATGAGAAATACTCTCATACTACACCCGGCAGAGTGCTGACGAGGATATTGTCCTCGTCTCAAACACTATTACATGCGCGCAGCATTTAAGTCGAACACATAACACACCTCATATTTGCTCGCATGGCCTTTCGATTCACTGCCATAGCTGTGCATGTGGTCTTCGTGACAGGAATACACCTAGGCAGTGAGAGATTTGAGAAGGCCGCAATAGGTGAATGCATTCCTGACTGGTAGAATACTGAAGTGAGCAGAGGCTTTTATTCGTATTACCTCTCCAATACTAGCATGGAGATGAGACCATCAAGGTCAGACTGTTTCATGCCCAACTTGAATGTTTGCAGGAGCAGTGTAAGGCCTCCTGCTAGGGTGACTGATATAATGCATAAGACCAGACAATCTTGTAAGTTCTTCGCCAGGGGATCATAATTGACAATATGAGAACTACAAAGCACAGTTGAGAAACAGGAATTTTCAGGTGCCTGAGTCTAAGCAACAAAAGCATTCTCAACCTCAGATCTTGTAAATGTAGCTGCATCATGTCATCTGATGTCCTTGCTCTCGGAACCAATCATTCAAGAGAAGGTATCCGAGGATACCTAGTCACAACTGCCACCAAGATAGAGCAGGATAGTATCGCACGTTAGAAGAAAAAATCAGCCAACGCGAGCTAGCGTCCTCCAGGATGAGGACGAATACCCGTTACCTTCTTCTCGATCGGCGCGCTCGCTGGTAGGACTCCGGCGTTTTCGAATGACCGGAATGTCTCGATCCAAGTATCATATGTGTCGTCGAATCGACTCCATCCGAACTTACGTGCTTTGGCAACTGTAGTTACGGCCAACCAGCTTTCACCTAAACCCCAGTCAAGAATATCCCAAGTCGCCCAGTCGAAAGCCTCAGGATTGCCGCCGTTCTTCGCTACGACTTGTTCCCAGACGGGCTTCTTGTCTTTGGCCCATTCGACCATGTTAATCTGACTTTCCATCTTCTGAGTTTCTCCGCTTGCCGTCCACTCTGAGTCAGGGACTTCCGGGATCTGGGCAACGTCAGGTTTTGTCACAGTATCACAAAAGTTCTTCTTGGGTTTACCAACCTCCATTCCAAAGTGCTCACCGAGCCTCGCCCAGAAGTACTTCCAGACGATATAGTCCCCGTTGTTATGGGAGAAGGCCTCATTCTTGGTGTGCTCGTTGGTAGAGGCCCACACGCTCATGTCTGCAATGCTTGGAGCATAGGAAGCATCATCGACAGTATTGTAGAAGAATTTGTTTCCCGGGAACATTGGGGTTTGACCAAGTTCCCTGCAAGTGAGGAAGTAGATGGCTACAGTGAGTGAAATCGACATTCCGTTCCCTATATCCCTCAATTTCAGCTTCATCTGAAGTGCTAGATGGCACAAGCGACAACATTAGAAATCACGCGACGTACCTGCAGGGGTATAGCCAATAATGCCCATAGGACGAATGACATTCCAGTGCCATTCGCGCTTCGCGGCCAAATCAAACATGAAGTCCTCTTGGATGAAATAGAAGTTTTCTCCGTAATCTTCATAACGCGCCATCCCTTCGTGAATCGGGACTTCAACAGGGCCCAGATGGACTCCATAATGCTGATTGCAGGTGTTAGCACATCACTTCGCGATGGGCATAGGGCTGGATGGTATCAAGCCACTCCCGTACCTTGCCTCCAGTGTGAAGAATGACTCGTTGCAGGGACTTGCTGGACTTATCAGTAGCCAGGAGGAAGTTTTGGAACAAGGGAACATTATCGTCCTTCAGCTTCGCGAAATCCATGTTATGGACGTAGGATGCAAAGAAAGCGTGTGTCACGTCGTGGCACAGCGGCTTCATCAGCTGAGCAAGCTCATCGGCAGGCTTCAAGAAATCCAGAGCAATAAATCTGATGCGGGGATCCTGCCACAGTGGCCATTTGGGAACACGTCTTGTTGTGATCACAATCTTGGACCTGTCGATGCTTAGCATATGGGACCTGAGAGTTGCAGCGTATCCGAGAAGAATTACCATTCGGATGCAGGTTGACGTATAAGGTGCTCAATGAGGGCATTCCCGGTAATACCATTGGCCCCAGTGACGAAAGCGACTTTGGCATTGGGGTGATGAGTTGAGGCCATTGTGCCTGTTGTATCTCTCAGCTGCGTTTGTCTTGTATACGGTGGTTACTTGGGTCTTGTCCGCGACAGACCGTTCGGAAAATTTTGTTTGAGTAGATTCCTGATGAAGGAGAGATAAAGGCAAGACAAACAAATTCTGTTGTGTTTTGGAATAGACGATATCCCTCATCACCAAGATGTTCGATGTGGGAACTAAGCCATTCATGCTAAATTTATAGGAACTGGCTGTCCGGATGGTCAATTACCCACAAACAGAAGTCCAATGGCAAAAAGTCAAATTCTCGCTATTCGCTCCTCGCCTCTTGCCGCTATAGGTGGACCCAGTGTGATAAAGTGACGCATGTGAACAGCTCGACGGATTTAAAGTCCACCACGTCCGGAATTATACGCTTCGACCACCAGACCACTGACCACATGATGATGCCTTCTCTAGCAACAATAAAAAAAGTCATAATTTTAGCTACCAGTCATTCTCGCCAGATTTTCAGGACTTTAGCAATTGAGGATCCTGAACTCAAGCACTGTCTGAGGTCATTTTATGCACCCTGGCTCCTCTCTCGTCGATGCCGTATTTAGTCGATCTTTTGTCTCTTTGATGTCAGAAGGTTGAAAGTAAATCAATGGCCAGCTGCTAAATCCGATGGGTTGTATTCAGAAACAGACTACTGCACTCTCATGCAAGATGTGGGACTATCATAAGTTCCACAAAATGTGGTGTGGACCGCAGGAGATCTTGCAGACCCACTTGTCCTTGATCGTCAAGGAAACGTTGACATATTAGTACCTCTAATATATTCCAACGAGAGAAGCTCGTATATTCCAATTGAAGCAAGGCTTGATATATCCTAAGTGAACATTGATACTATCACCAATATCTGATATATGGGCTAGTAGGTGATAATACATCAACATGCAGAGTATCTCGAAAGCCGAGAACAGAATGAGTTGGGGCGATGTGAAGCTAGAACCAATCAACTGGACGCTTAGCGAGACGTGCACAGTACATTCATGGCGGCTGGGTCTTTATCCTCTTGTGTGGGTCATTTGCGACCCATAGAACAGGGTATTGAGAATCGAGCTGAATACTCGCGGATATTCCACGGATAATCCACGAGGTCCGGAATTCATCCTGGCAGGTCGATGCGATAAAGAGCAGTAAGTAAGGGGGAATCTGAAACCCGCCAGGTGCTGTAATGATTCGGCTCCTTGTCCTTGCAGGACCAGTGAGGCGAGACCAGTTCAAATCCAACACTTTGGTCAGCACAGGCTCCTAATTAACCACAAGAGGTAAATTCAACTCCATGCAAGATGCCAGTGTACAATGGTGTTAATGTGTGCTGGATTGAAACGAAATGTTGTATTCTATGAATGAGAAAATTCATATCTATCAAGAAGACATGTTCGGTTATAGTCTTGTCCTTCTTTAGAAACTTAGCTACCAGTCTGGCAAATACACTCCCTGCATAGGCAATTTAAACAGTGATGCTTGCGTCCGCGTTCTCCACCAGCATCTGCGCATACTCCTCAAACCACTGACCAGCCCTCGGCGCACCCTCCATGCCGCACTGACCATCGCTTTCACCGCCGGGCTTGATCCAGACAATGCTGTCGACGAGAGGGTTGTCGACAGCAGTACCGGGCTTAATGCCGTACCCAGCCGGAGCCACGTTGCACCATTCACCCCTGAAATTGTCAGCATTTTGCAGTTCAGAATAACGACAAGTAAGAAAATGCAAAACAGATTGAAGTTGCCGGGGTGAAAACATGGACAGAAGGTAGGAAGAGACGGTACGACATACCACTCTTCTCTCGCACCAGGTAAAGCCACGCGACCTTGGTCGATAATGAATCGAGTCGGAAGCCCCTCAGCCTCGAGGTGCGGGGATAGCGAGGTAGCATAACTAGACTCATCGGCAGAGTTGGAATACTCGGTATAAGGCTCCGGAACCTCCGCCTTGAACGGATTGTAGTTGGAGACGTTGATCGCATAGCCTCGAATGCGCGTACCGTTTCCAGCTTGGCGGACGACCTCGCCAAACAACTCAGCAGCTGTTGTTATATGCGGTCAGCCAAAATATCAATGCTATCGAAAATGCCCAGGTATCGCGGTTACATACTTGGCTGTAGGTTATCGTCCCAACCAAGCCAACCGCCGTGCGCAGCATCGATGTAAAGATGCACATTATCGAACTGCAAGCTGGAGATCGCATGAGCGATACCCTCCTTATAGGCATCAGCTGCATTCGCGCACTTCTCGACATTCAAGTTGGTGACAAGATTGCCCAGTGAGTCCGGCTCCAAAACAATGGCGAAGGTGAGATCCGTTGCCGCAGAAACTTTCTCCGCGTATGGCTGGATGTACTCTGTCTTGTACCGCTCCAGGCCATTTTCCGAGAGAATGAGCTCGCCCGCGCTCTCTCCTGCGCTGCAATCTCTATCAGGAAGGTTGTAGAGGACAAGCCCAACGATCTGCGTCTCTCCAGTCTCGGCCTGTGCAGCACGAGCATCCTCGATGGCAGTATCGATGTGGGCAAGACTAGCGATGTCAGATATCCATACAAAGGTTCCAATGTCCTGGATTGCTCGGGTTTTCTCCGTGTTGGAACTGTCACCCGCTTCTTCGAAGGACTCAACGGTCTGCTCTAGTTTCTCTGCATAGGTTGGGTTGACAAAGAGTTTCTTGCCATCGAAAGGGTTGATATCTGCCTGTCTGCGAAGAACTCGGTGTCCAACCCGAGGAAATACTGGGCCAGCCGCGGATAGCACCGCAAAAGATACGGCAGCTAAGGTGGAAGTCCTCATGGCCAAGGAGTAGACTTGAACCGTGACAGTCTCGTATTGCTCTTGTTGCCTGTGTTGTAGTCGGTGGTCTGCGGTGCAACAACATCACCATTCCAACAGAGCTCAGACGGTTCTTCTTTATACACCAGGTCCGCCCCCCCCCCCCCAATACTGGTGTTGCTGATCAGTTATCCTCCACTGGTACTCGGACCGTAGAATCAGGAACGTTGATTGTCAAGGGGCCTTGGTTTGTTCCCTGGCTGGACGAACCGCCTTGGCGCCTTGCAAATCACCCAGACGTCAACGACATTCGCTGCGAAGGGACCTCATGATGCGACCTGGCAACAGACATTCACGAACCAGACGAACCCTGCGTTCTGACGGCGACCCGCAATTGTCTCCGTCAAATCGTCTATATGCCCAGCTTTCGGAGGATGCCACGCCGTCGGGACGAGCCGGCTTGTCGAGGTTAGATGAGCAGAGAGCCGCCGAGCCGAGCTAAACCCAGTCCATAATCACAACGGAGGGCTGGTCATCTCGGACTAGGGGCCGAAGCCAAGTCGGATCACGGAGACGAATCCCGCCAATCCGATGATGACCAGAGTGAAGTCGCGCGCGGCTGCTTGTGAGTGATGCCAGTCATGGCATGATCGGCATAATAAAATAGCACTCCCCAGGATTGCCTAAGACTCGGTTCCGCACTTCTCTATTCGTTGATCCCTAACACCAGATTTTCACCACATTGAGTTATCAAAACTCTGAAAGATCATAGAGTAACTGACGGTATAGCTCTCTCGTTCCCCCTCAGCTCGTTAACATCCGCATAAATGCATTCTTTCCATCAATATCCCAACACCTTGATGAACAAACTTGCTCCATGTTACGACTACAAGATTTGAGACTTTCCACTGGCTAGGACCAGGAAGGGTTTGGAACTGATTTGGCCTTCAAGACACTAATCATCGCGTGGACCGGAGTCTCTCAACTTAGGCATCAAGGTCTTATAAGTCAAGCACGACTACATGTTTGTTAATGAATACTACCTACTGCTGTGATTTTCATCAATATTTGCGAATCGAATTTTAGAGGCTTTAATCTAGAACTTATATCATCATCGCCCAGGGTCTAAGCACTGCAAAGTTGTCACCGATAAACTTGAACAGCCGGTGGTGGTCAACGACTCTATCTCAACTGCCTTTACCCAGCCACTTAGTACTGAGATGGAATCGTTGAACATGGCCGTTATTGTTCCGGCATTCAAAATGACTTGTCAGGATGTTAACGTAGTGAATTCTGTAGCACGCATGTGAGTGCACTCAGTAAATACTTTTTGCCTTCTTTAATTACTTATGGTGTGTACTCGAGCCTCAACTCTGTTAATTATTGCTGATACCTAGGCGTACAATTCTAGATGTACTCGTCATCCTCAACTCGCCATTAAGACACTAAGCATGCTCGTGCCGTGTAATCGTATATTCAGTCGAAGGTATTTGACATCCGAAAGCGGCTACCCAAACAAATTCTATGGTCCTACTCAGAGCATTGATAGTGTACTAGTTTTCTTATCTTATCGCAACGATTCCGCGGTTCCTTCTTGTCTCCGCCTTTGAAGTTTGGATGGCGTTCTGATGCTATCTCCTGGTATATATCTTCCGCGGGGGTGCAACGGCCTCGACTGTTCGCGTTTCAACTACCCGCGGTCGGGTCCGATGGTATGATCGAGATCGTCTTCTTCCGCGACTGTGTGAGTGGTAGTACACAGGTCGTCTCCGGCGGTACCTGCGCCCGCCTACTGCAAAACAACAGCACCACAGGATCCAAAGAGCCAGAAGCAAGAACACAACTGATGCAATGACGATGCCCGCAATTGCACCGGCAGAGAGCGGCGCCGGGTCGTAGTAGGGGTCATAGTAGACAACGTCGGCTTGTTGATATTGAGGTGCCTGATATCTTCGTCAGCCAAGGTGACCGAGGACAAAAGCCAAATGTGCTTCTTTACTACTTCGATACGCGGAGAATTCACAAAAAATACGTACCATATTGGAATCTTGCAAGACGGAGGGCAAGCAGCAGTCTCCCTGCTAAACAAAGGGGGAGGATGGTATGTCTCCGGTGAAAGACAGCAATGTGGGCGGTGAGGGATTTCATACCGGCAGTGAATCGCCTCGTAAGCCGCAGTCATTCCAGACCTCAAGACATCCTAGCACACCTCGCCCAGGTGACATGGTTTGACGGCGCCACATCGCCAAGCTCAGCAGAATCCAATGAGAAAGTCGAACCTTGGGAACCGGGACTTGAAGTTGGCCTGAATCTGCAAGATCCACGTCATAATACACCACCTCAGGCGGGTAGTTGGGGAAGATATGCAGCCTAGGAAGCACTGGTCCAACCCATAAGCCGGAACATAAGTAGTGGCTTTTTATAATACCTGTTGTATTACATGGTTATCTCATTACCCCACTTGCATCTCGTGCCAACTTTAAAACGTATCTAGTTTAATTAGTGCACCTCAGCCTTGTTAGAATAATCGCTTAGTATTCAAGTGCTCTGGTCTAGTCTGGGTGGGTGCTTAGCCCCCTTAATATAGACGATCTAGAATACAGTGGCAAATATTAGGAAAAAGAGATATCCCGCATTAATAATTAAAATATTTCAGAGCATTTCAATATCCCCCCTTAAGTTATTTTTTTATTTTATATTTTTACATAATTTAAAAAATTTATAATAAAAAAATAACTTAAAAGGTATCTTTTTTTAATATGTTTTTATTATTATTTTATTAAAGAAAAACCTTATATAAAAGGAGAAAATCTTTAGTTATTTATATATTAAGAAAAAAACCTATAAAATGTGTAAAAATATACCATATAGCCGCTTAAATTAGCAATCATGCAATTTATTTAAATATTATTATTATAAATATTTACTTATTACTTTAATTTATATAATATAAAAATATATATTATAAACATAATATTTATTTTAATATTTAAAGTTTATATTATATATTATTATATTATATAAGTTATAATTATTATATAAATTATAAAAATAATATAATTTATAAGGAAAATTATATTATATAAATTATAATTATTATATAAATTATGAAAATAATATAATTTATGGGGTTAATATATATAATGCCCGCAATATATAATATATATATAACGTGGTTTATTAATAAGTGGCGCATATTAATAAGTGGCGTACTTTTGCAATATTTGCTAACTTTAACCAACCTTAGCACCCACTTAATGCAAAGAAATTAATTAAATTTAACATTAATTAATATTAACTATATTTAATTCTTTATTTTTAATTAATTTAGTTAATTTAAAGCGGTTAATAGATATATAATGCTGATTTAAATTAATTAACTTTTGGTAAGAAATATGCATTTAACATTAATTAATATTAACCATACTATTAAAAACGCAGTCCGCCGCGGATTACCCTTTTATATATATCAGCATTAATTAATGCCAAATAAATTAAAAAAAGATTATATTTATTTAAAATTTAATTAACTAATGGCCTTTGCATCTTTCTCACAAGTTCATGCATTATGCCTAGTTTCGTATAATTACTATATCATCATTTAATTAGTTCGCACGTAGGTGCTGTTCTCTGCATCTCTCGTGGACTTTTTTTACCCCAGCCTCCGATAATAAGTCGGGTTCTAGAATGGAGCAAGCTGTTGAATACGCTTTGCTTGCCTCGCTTTGTTGCCTTTGCTTGGCTGGTGATTCCCCATAAAATAGACGGCTAGACCCGTAAATGAATACTCTGGGCATTGGTACTAGCGATGTGCCTAGAAGTAGATCTCTTTTGAATTCATGCACCATGTCTGAGTCCGTTTCTGCTGCGTCATGTTCCGCTTGAACTCCGGGTCAACCCGATGAACAACCCAACTCAGTAAATGGCCTGGATCCAGACCCTCAGGACCGTCCACGCAATATGTGTAACCTACAGTCGCAATAGAGAGTTGCCAAGATTCTCAAGGTATCCACCTTTCCGAAGTCCCGAAGTTGTGAAGGAACGGAAAATTCTTTTTTTTTTTCAATAAGTGGATCTGCGGAAGGACATCAAGATAAATTGGCCGTGGAGACTCCGAAGTCCCTGTCTCCCGCAAGGCTGGCTCCAAGCCTTCCGCCGCCAAGAGCGAGGAATGTCCGCTGTAGCTGTCGAGAAACACCACTGGCAGTGACTCAGTGTAGACGTAAAAACGCATGCAAGGCAAGAGTCCAGAAGTCACATTGACTTGATCTATCGTAGACAGTAGAGCGTACTGCGCAGTTTTGTTGACGCCAAGAGCGTCCAAATCCCGATGGTGCCTGACGAGTACAGGTATCAGCTCGCTTAGGGCCGGGACCCATCGGCGGTGCTTCCGAAGCAACGCTCTGTGGATCTGACGATACGCAATGGCATGACATCCAGTCATCCTCTGGGGCAATTTACGTGGTATGGCCAGGCCATAAACCCAAGCAGGCGCTGTAAATCGACGGCCAGAGCCGAGAATATGGCAGCATAACTTTAATTCCCACCTAGTTCTTCAGCTTTACCTATTCACGTACACTAAGATCTTTGGCCTGGCTATGGAAAGAAAGCACAATGTCGTTGAGAGCGGACCTGGAGTCCTGTCCTCAGACTCGTCTGCGACGATAGAGCTCGAACGGAAAGGTCCCCCAAACGGGGGTTTAAAAGCTTGGCTTCAAATATTGGGCGCATTCTTTTTATATTTCAACACTTGGGGTAAGAAGAGAGTCTATCTAACGGCGTTTATCCAACCCCCCCCCCCCCCAACATGTTTGTTGACATTGTTCAGGAATCGTTTCAAGTTTTGGGAGCTACCAGAGCTACTATGAAGACACCGTTCTCAAAGGGGCCAATTCCTTTCAGGTTTCGAGCATTGGCTCGGTACGTAAGTACCATTCTTTTTTTTCTTACGGTTCCCGTCTTTCATGTCTTGGAATGCTCCAGAATGTATCACTTTAGGCTCTGTGGCAGGAGATTAACACGTACTAGAAAGTTTCTTGATGGTCTTTCTCGGCTTTATTGCTGGACCAGTGTTTGACCAGGGCCACTTCAGTCATCTCCTCAAGGGCGGCTCGATATTGATCCTCGTGGGAACAATCATGCAAGGACTGTCCTTTGAGTACTGGCATTTGCTTCTCTCCCAAGGCATCTGCACGGGAATTGGGAGTAAGCAGCTTCCGGGTACAATTTTTACCCTCTCTGGAAAATCGATGTCATCTGTAGCCTGTACCTCAAAGGCACTGTCAGGCTGCAGGTTTTGAAACAAGCTATGACCATGCTGTGGCCTGCTCCTCCCTATATCCCAATGAAACTTCTTCCTTGGTTCCTTGATAGCTGACTCTTTTTGCTGCAGTGGGTCTTTTAGCCGTCCCAAGCGTCGCTGTGCCGTCGGTCTGGTTTACCAGCAAGTTGCCACTTGCGAATGGCATTGTTGTGAGCGCGAGTGGTTTCGGAGGGTGAGTGGATTAAATTATCTGCAACAAAGGGGCTGCTGGAGCAGTCAAAATGTGTGATCGTTGCTGATGTTCATCTTCATCGCCTGCATAGAGTCGTCTATCCGATTATGATTCGCTCCTTGATACCTACCATTGGCTTCAAATATACCAGTCTCAGCGTGGCGCTGGTTATCCTCATCACGTTAGGTGTATCGAACGTTGTGCTTCAGCAGCCTGCGATGCCGCAAGCGAAACGTGCGTTCTTTGATCGGTCTGCTCTGACGGACATGCCGTACGTTCTGTTTGTTCTTGGCGCTATGCTTGCATTCCTGGGCCTATACACAACTTTCTTTTACTTGGCTAGCTATGCCGTTCAAGAAGGAATTACCACGGAGAGCACAGCACTATACTTCGTATCCATATTGAATGGAGCCTCAGTGTTTGGCCGGGTGCTTCCCAACATACCTTGCCTTACGCTTCGTCTGGGACCATTAAACATGATGGTGGCATCTGTTACCTCGATGGCAATCATTGTGCTCTCCTTCAACGCCGGCCCGAATCTTGCAGGTCTCTTAGCCATGATCATCCTGTACGGATTCTTCACTGGAGCCTTCTTCACCCTGCAGCCGACCATCTTTGCACGGCTCACTGAGGACCCCAGCCGTATAAGCACAAGGACTGGGATGGCGTCGACGATTTGCAGCGTCGGGCTTTTGCTCGGTGCCCCATCCGGTGGAGGACTGTGGAGGACATATGGTTTTTCTGCTAGCTGGGTTTGGAGTGGCGCCACTCTAGCTTCTGCTGCTTTGGTTATGGCCGTCAGTAGATGCATGGTAAGCAAGTGGCGATTGCGATCAAGTGTTTGAGGGAAGTTGGAAAGCAAGCTCAACAGGCAATGCAAAAGGGTTATTCTGCAAGGCTCATGAATGATCCGCAACATCAACGTACATGACTGGCATTCAGGCTTTCTGTGGAATCCAAGTAGGCTGATGTGTGGCGTAGCCACTGAACACATAACAGGTCTGTTTTGTAGTTCAAGGCTTTCGCAGCTCGAGGTCTGCTTCCCAAGCTCTGCCGAAATTACATACTACCCGACATGTGGATCACGAGTTGCAACGTCCCCGGGTTCACAATCAACATCAGCGCACACAGGGGAAGAACGAAAAGAAATCGGTTTCATTCAAAAGCAACACAAAAGCCCAATCTCAACTTTTTCCCTCGTCCAGTTGCTCCCACTCGTCCTCCAGAATGCTGAACAGATACAGATCGTACCAGGCTCTGTTGTGCCAGTGGCATTGCCTTTGCTTCCCATCCAGCTTGAATCCTGCCTTCTGGTAGCATCTGTGAGCCCGTTTATTGTATTCCACAGATCCCAGGTGAACACTATGCATGTTTGCTCTTCGGAACGCCCAACCGATGGCCCAACGGACAGCTTCGGTGCCGTAGCCGCTGTTCTGATATGGTGCTGCAATAGCAATACCCAAGGAGCAGGCACGATTGCTTGGGTTCCGGCCATACACGCTGGTCGACAAATTAATCATGCCGATAGGCTTGTCTGCTGCCTTGTCAGGCTGGTCAACGTCTTTCTCAGACAAGGCACTGCTCTTGAAATGCCTCTCGTTGGCCTTGACGTCTGAACGGAGGCAGATTATCACGTCCATCAGAAAGTCGTTCTGTTTCCACTTATCAAACCAATCCTCGGGTTTTTGTTTTCGTGGAGGCTTCAGGAGCATAGGCCCGGAGAGGGAAACGTTGACGGGATCGGTATCGAGATCTCGAAACAAGAATTCGTAGTCTTCCTGCTGAGTTGCCCGGAACACCAGCCGCTCTGAGCGCCATACGTTCTCGAGACCGTCGAGGTATGCCTCAGCCATAATGAATCGAGAAATGTGACTTAAGATGTGTGCTAGGTCTTCACCTGGTCGAGTTGGATGGATGATTTGAGGTGGTGCCAGGGAACTCGGAATCTGGGAAACCCACGATGTGAATCAGTCCCTTTAAATACGCCAAGCCTGCCTGTGGTACAAGCCTCATCCTGGCGCGTTGATAGGCGTGAAATCCTGCGCTTACGGATTAACAGGGGTCACAATTCACTCCCAATTGTGATTGTCCCGAGAGGGGTAAAGGAGCTCGCTCATGCAAGCCAGTCGAAGGATTTGTCTTTGCGGCGTCTTATTTGCCCGGTCTTACTGAGTCACCGGAGATGATGAGCTGCCCATTACAAAGGTGCACAGCGACAACTGTTGCGAAACCTCATTTTAAGCTTTTCACTCACCCCTACCCTAACTTCTAACCCCCTCCCTTTTTAGTTCTTTTCCAATAGATGGGGGTAACTATAGTGAAGATAGAGGTGAATGAAAATTTTGCAGGGGTTTCTTAACAGCTGACGCTGTACACCTCTATAGCCCATGGGCAACTAGAGATATTTGCATACCTATACGATTTAAGAAGTCACACAGTGAGTCACAAATCCTTAGACTGGTGTATTTTTGCTAGTACATTTCGCGTTTAGCATTACATCATTGGATCCATGATGGTATCACGAGCGCCTAGCGGTCAAGCACGCACATTGGACTTGATTCAAGGCTATTTCCCTCATCCGCAACATTGCAAACAAGCCTCAGCACGCGTCATGATGGACAGTGGCATTCCTACCCCAAATGTTGCTCCAGATGGACCTTTTCCTACTCCAGTATCACTTCTGCTGATTCTTTTTCGGTATGGTGTCGCGTTTCATCGCTTCTCCCTCGCCCCGTCAACAAAGACGTCAAACTTCTCATTATAAAAGCACAATCGCCCCTGAATTGCCGCACTTTCGGAGGTCGGGTACACATAATACCATACGGCGTCCTTTACCTCGACGTCTCCCACCTTCACATCATAATATGAAGCCTGTCCTTTGTATGGACAGAAAGTAGTTGTATCGCTTTTGCTCAGCAAGCCCCAATCTTTAATAGAAGTTGGAGGCAGGTAGTGGCGTGTAGGTAGCATGGTCTCGTGTAAGAACATGTTGTTTGTACTCTGGGCAAGAACCGTGCCGTTGAGCTCGACCCGAATTTCGCGAGAAGAAGGAAGGATCTCAATGCGTTTATAAGGGTCCTTGGGGTGGCCGCCAAGAAGCTTTTCGTCTTCCGCGAACCAGTCTAGCCAGTGAAAACCATCATTAGAAGTTGATCACGGGAAAGGGATGCGAACAGTGGTGACTGACCAATGTCCGACACCTTGACCTTGACGAGGCCTTGCAGCGGGCCTTTGTCGTAGCCCTGCGCCTCAGCAGTCGTGGCTCCGCTGCGTATTGTTCCCAACCAGAAGCCGGCCTTGTCTTCCTTCTCCTTCTCGATCTTTGCTGGGCCTGCTGTTATGTCTTTCTCAGGAACGTAGTAATACGGGACTAGACAGACATTTTAGTTCCCTGAGACTTACAGGGCAGCCTTGACCAGAGACATACAGTACGGATGTTCCCAAACATATCTGGCACTTAAGCTGTCGAAGATCCACTGGTCGCCTAGAAGCCCTCGGAGGCGTCGGTTGGCAGGCTCCTGCTTGTGAGGACCGTCCACGAGCTTGATGCCCAGCTCCGTTGGACTTGCGGCACCCGTCAGCAGAGCACTGGGATAATACATTCCGTTCGGACTTGCCTTGGTCTTGGTAGGGATGCCATGCTGGATTCTTGATGTCTGAACCGGCGGCAATTGCGATCGCCTAGCAGGATTCAACTCACCGTTCACGACTTCGGGGGCGACGAGGAAGAGGGCAAGAAGCGGGGTCACACGCCTGGACGTGCTAAGATGCGTCTGAGTTGACTAATCCTCTCCACAGTAGGTTGATGAGGGACCTGGAGCTCTAGATTCTCGTTACTGAATGGGGTTGCATAGGAATGCGGGACGTCACTGTCAACCGAGGCCCTTCTCTAAGTTGTCGACTTGATCACTATCAAACCGTCTCAGAGCAGTTGGCGTGACCTGTCACTGCCCAGAAAGTCTGATAATGGCCTGTTCATGTGATGGGTGCACTGCAGGCGCTCCTGCATGTGGTCAAGAACTGGGGGCTTCAGAACACCTCGTTTTTGACGCGTGCATTGCATGTTGCACACTGCACATGTGACCAGAAGCGGGAAAAAAAAAAAAAAAAAAAAAAAAAAAGGATGCTTATCTGCGGTGGGCTTGCTGCAGACCACCTATTGACCGACATAATTATGACAGGGGGGCTGCGCCGTAATGGCGAGCTGGCTGCCTTCTTGCATGCTTGCCTTGCGTGTCCCGTCCTATTTCAGCCGCACACGGCTGGGACGGTCCAGCATGTGGTGGTTATTGCAGCTGCAAAAAGCACGTGGACGGTATGCTTGAGCGAGGCAGACGATGCATCCTGGAGTTGTTGAGCATTTAATCCGTCAGCTAGTACACTAGAGTGTGCATAGCACCCAATCGGGCCGTCTGATGGCTGAAGGTAGGTGTTAGTACGGTGGTTTTTCTGCGGGCAGCTCCCGTGTCACGGTTGCGTCACCAGTCCCCACTTCGGCGGCCAATTCGTTCCGTCGCGGGGCAATTGGCAACGGCGCACCGGCATCCTGCTAGGCAAGGGTCCGTACCTGGGTTAGGCTGATAGGCTGGTAGGCTGGGGAGGTAGGCTGACTTTGAGATCCCAGATCGAGAGCATGCCCTGATCATATCATTGCGAGTCGGCACTAGACTGACTACGTCGTTGGTCGCCGCTTCGCTCGCCTCGTCTGGTAATTGTTTTTGCAGTCCCTCGCTCGTTAGCATGCCTATCAACAGCCTCCAGATGTGAGGAAGATGAACTGCTCCGGGTCATCATAGTACATACTACCGTCAACCCTCCTCCTCCTCCTCCGCCTCCTCCTCCTCCTCCTCCTCCTCCCACCTCGCGGATCCGGCCTCGAACCCCCGACGCGGGCGACATCCCTGATCCACCCACCCAGCCATGCCCCAGGCCTCGTCCATCGCTCCAGCCGCCATGGTGGCCTCTACGGCACACACCGCCGGCGCATCCTCGTCGTCGTCGTCGCGCCCAAGCCTTGCCCGCCCGGTTCGGCTGACTTCTGCCGGCTCATTCCACGCCGGCGCCCCCATGCCCTCCTTCCCTGGCCCCTACGACGCCGCTCGCGATGGCAAGCCCCTCGGACGCAGACGAACCTTCCTCGGCCACCTCAGCCAGATGCGACGCCAATCCACCTACAAGTACCACACTTTCCCCACGCAGCCGCCCAAGACCCCCAGCGATGCCCCCGACTCGAGCACCGCCAACTCGCCCTCCGAGGAGGAAGCGGCCCGTAGGAGAAGAGGCCACAGGCACACCAACAGCCGCGACAGCAACGGGGACGTCACACCTCTGCCCGTCAGGCAGCTCCTCCTCCTGGCCCTGCTGAGCCTGGCCGAGCAGACCGCCCTCAACTCCATCGGTCCATACCTGCCCACCATGGTCGCAGCCTTCCCCGAAATACCACAGGGCCAAGCCGGCTTGTATGTTGGCCTGCTTGCCTCGTCCTTCGCACTGGCACAGCTCATGACAAACTTCCTGTGGGGCTACTTCTCCGACCGCGTCGGGAGGAAACCGATAATGCTCATCGGCACCGCCCTGCTGTGCCTCTGCTTCGCCTTCTTCGGCTTCTGTGAGAGCTATTGGCACGTTCTGGTCGTCCACATTGCCATGGGGCTCCTCAACGGGAATGCCGCCGTCGTGCCGACCGTCCTAGGCGAGGTCACCGACCGGAGCAACCAGAGCAGGGCTTTTACGTGGTTGCCAGTCATGTACTCTATTGGAGGCATCACCGGTCCGGCCCTGGGAGGTCTGCTTGTCGGGGAGCCGGGGTCTGTGAGGTGGCCCTTTCTGGGGCCCAACCTGATGTCCGCCGCTTTACTGCTGACCGCCGTGGTGGTTTTGGCGATATGGTTCGAGGAGACCTTGGACGAAGCTGACAGGAGACACGAGATAAAAGCCCTCGCCTGGCTCGAGAACCTCTGTTTCTGCTCTTGCCTCAATGCGAGAAAAGGACGGGAAAGGTTCCGGAGCTCCAGCTGGTCAGCTTCCCCGCCCGACGTCGTGCTCCGGGAGGAGAATGAGGGCGCCTACGACGAACAAGGTGGCACAGGCGAGGAAGACGCCCTCCTCCACTCGGCCCCCGACCTCGAATCGCAAGGACGACCCCAGGACAACAAAGACAGTCCCCCCTCCAGTCGATCAGCCTTGCGCAAGTTGCTCAACTGGACCACCGTGAGCATTTTGCTCACCTACCTCGTCTTCCAGGTGGTAAACATCTCCTTCAACAGCCTCTATCCCATCTTTGCCTCCGCACCACCGCCCACCGGTCGCGAACTTGGCCCCGGCGTCATCGGTGTTAGTATGAGCCTGGCGGGACTGGTCACCATCCTGTTCCAGGTTTCCTTGTTTGAGCCTCTCAAGGCGCGGCTGGGCAATCTGGGCACCTTCAGACTGAGCCTACTGGGCTTGGCTCTCACCATGGTCTTTATGCCGTTTGTGGGATACCAAGATGGAACTGCTCCGTTTGGCTGGGGCTCGGGCAGGTCGTGGCTGCTGGTCGAGCTGGGTGTGATACTCGTGCTCAAGAATTTGAGCGCCGTTGGTGGACTGAGCTGTGTTCTACTACTCGTAAGTGCCGAACTCCTCTGCGTGCCTTGACAGCCTTTACTCATTCCTACAGATAACAAACTCTGCTCCCACTCATGAAACCCTTGGTTCACTCAACGGCATCGCCCAGACACTCTCCGCAGCCGGCCGGTCCTTTGGGCCCTTTGCATCTGGCGGTCTGTTCACATTGTCGATGCGCTTGCAGCACAAGGGCGAGTTGCTTGCCTGGGGTGTGTTCGGCGGCATCGCCCTCGTCGGATGGGGCTGGACACTGTTCATTAGGGGCGGAAAGCTGGAGAGCGATGACTTCCTGGGTGACGACGGTCACGAGGATAGTGACGGCGAACAGCACGACGAGCACGACGAGGGGGAAGCAGGATATGCCAGCGTCGACACGCGACAAATCCGGGAGGAAGATCTAAACACGACGAGAAGGGATCTAGAGCGGGAGTGGTAACTAATCGATACCCAACCATTTGGACAGAGACCTGCAGAGGAGGTTTTCTGATCATGTATCAACGACGATATGAGATATGGTATAGAGCGCTTCGGCTTGTTGATGATGTTACGGCCGATCTGGAAATAGCGAATCGTGTCGATATCTAAGCAGTGATATGCGGGTGGTGTCGTGGAAGAAGCATTCATAGAGATGTGTTGAGCCTGCATGAGATATTCAACCACGCTCCGACTTTGCACTGCTGTGGTTGGAACACAACGAACGCACTTAGAACTGTTCTTGGTATATGTTAGGATCTCAGCAAGTCTTGTCTTGTGCATCCCAGCCTCCGTCGCGCTGTCAAGTATTCACTGTGTGCCCTCAGGCTTGCGGCTGGGCTGGGCTGCTAGAGTCAGGTGGCTTGATACCGTACGGCTTGGCCACAGACATCTGTTCAATAGACTGTAACTAATAGGACATTGCAGTCCGAAACATTCTGCCCTGACCGCGCCTAGATTGAGAACTTGATTCGGAACATTGCATATCGGTCTCGCCCCACCTCTGTTGTACTAAAGAGGAAAATGGATGGCCCCACACCCTCCGAGTGTGATTTAGGCCTTATACAGTGCGTCTTCCTGGATTTAAAAACCTCTCACAAGAGTGAGCGGCTCTGGTAGTGCCTTTAATATTGTTGGCGCCACGTCCCTCGGACAGTGAGTCCGAGATGACGCCAGCAACTCGTGTTGGACCGTGGCCTTGCTGCCTTGCGTTCTGACGTCATGCCTCCCAGTCCCTTCTCGTTGATGACAGGCCCAAGATGCGGGAATATAATTCGCAAAGGGTTCACTGACTCTCTGAGACCGGGGGGGGGGGGAAACAGATACTTCCGACGCGCGTAACATACCTCCCTATGTTGGTAGCGTTCGGGGTTTAGTCGTCAGCTCTTCACTTGCCCCGAGGCCGGACAGGAGCAATGAAAACAAAGAAGGCGGTGAGAAGTAGGCATCCGCATAAATGTGCAGCCAACAGAGTGATTATGCACCTGGGCCGGGGGGCCGTTTTGGGGGGTTGGGGTGGGGGGTGTCTTGTTTGGGTATAGGGGTGCTGCAGATTAGGCATTGTCTGGGGCCTATTAACGTTACGGACCTTGGCAGGGGCAGTGTATCTCGTGTGCCTCAGCCCTACCCGCTGGTCAGCCGCTCCCTGGATATCGAGGCTGTCTTGGAGGCGTGGAACTTTTGTCCATGCAGGGGGGGGGGGAGCATGGCATGGCATGGCATGGCATGGCAGCCGAGGGCAGGGCGCCCTGCCGACATTCAATGCCGGAGGATTCCACTGTCTGTTCGGGGAAACGCTTGGTGTAAATGTACAGCATGGTATAGATCGAATGCGTCCTTCGGGGCCCGGGACCGTCCGGGTCTGGAACATTCAGCGCTACGAAAGAGAAGTTGGTGTGCGCGGATCCCCAGCGTCGGGTGATCGTGGCTGTGAGGCTCAACTGGGACCCTAGGCTTATTCTAATTACTTCCCAGTGTTTGCCGGTCCGGAGGCGTACCCATGCACACAAAGGTCATTACATTTTTGGAAGTAAAGAAAAGTCGCCCCTATTAATGACCACCTAAGATGTGAGTCAAGTCTGCACGCTGGCAGATCCAGCGATAATTGAAGAGATAGTTGTAGTATAGTCAAACTGGCCGCTCAGCAGCCATCTGGAAAAGGATTGTGCTCCTCCTCTGCACAAAAGCACGAGTCGAATGTCTTGGAAGCGGAGGCAGCCTACCTAGTCACGCGGAGACGTTGACGCAATCACTTGTGTGGTGAATGCTACCGCAGGAGTGCTGTTATTCCAGTGGGAAGGTCTGGAATGAACGATGAGTTACGTAGGCAGAGAGAGGCATGACACAGGCTAAAATCTCATCATCCAGATCTCGGGGCCGTTCAGGCGGCCACTCCGGGATGCCACGAGCCTGTCGAGCCTCCGAGACCAATAAGCGCCATCCCACAGAGTATCCGCAAAACCTTGGCTCCGCTCCTCGACCGTTTGCTGGGTGCAATCCGAGAGCTCGGAACCCATGGCTGGCGCCGCTAGCTGAAAGTATGCATCCTCATGCAGGTTTCATGCGGGCTCCTGCAGCCCTATAGGGCTGGCTGGTTCTGGGATGACATGGACTATACCGCTACTTCATTAGTAAACACAATCCCAAAATACATCCGTCTCATAATCACGTCTTCACCCAATACTTCCGTTGTCGTCGCTCTCATATCGTTGTCCAAGGCCAATGGATCATTTCCCCACTCTGAAATGGAGTGACCTTTTGGGCCTTGAAGGGAAAGTTTCGTCGATGCTAGGTTAGATCTGGCAAACGCTTTGCATTGCTAACAGGGTTCGGTACCTGGATGCTAGCTCATGACGCTGACAGATCCTGTTTTCCCGCCCAGTCCAGCCTGTCTTGTCACCAGCTGTTCGATTTCTTACAAATCCGGATGGCGATTTGAGAATACTCAAGGGGCGAAAATTGCTCCGTGGGCTCGATAAAGCGTAGATTTGGCCCTTTTCCAGATGTTCTTGTGTATTGTGTTTGATCAGGTCTGTACGTGCGTCTTTGCGACAAGTGTTGCGACAATCATATTCCCGTCCCCTTCTTTCACCATAAAACGCTCAAGTGAGCACTTTGAATCCTCCCAATTTCTCACTCATTGCGTGCCTGGGCATACACAGCCTTTCACATCTTGGAAAGGCGCACCTCTTTGGGCACAGCCTGTGGCCCACGTTTCAGCCTATTTGGGCATTTCAAGTCGCTAAGGGACCAACCAGTGGGCTTGTCAAAGCTGGCAGCTCCGGTCGTAACAAGCCGGCTGAGCCTCAATCCCGAACATGAGCCGCCACACCCAGTCCGGACTTCAGCCGCACGTATTCCGTCGCTTTATCGAGGTCTTTTAAGATGCCGGCTCAGTTTTCAGCTTTGCGGGTGTTTCGTGAGAGAAGACGCTTCGCGTGACTGTCCTCCGAGTTGATTCCTGCGACCCGCAGTCCTGGAAAATCTTGATAAGTAGCAGTTGGCCCGTATGATCGGGTTACTGCCCCTGTCCAAGTGTACATGTGAACATGAAGCCCCACTTTTCACCCAGCACAGAAGCCCGAGATACTTCTCTCTTGTTCAGAAAGTTGTTCTAATGTTGGGTACAAATTCCACATGTCTGCTAAACCTTTTCGGGATGTTGACTTGCAGATGCCAACACTAAATACAGGTACTAAGTATGACATATATGCTCAACCCATTGGCTGTGTATGTCGGCACTCACCGGTGCCCACTGCATATACCGGCCCCCAGCCACGTACCTATGTCGGGAAAGCCTCATCAACGCTCACGTTGTCATCATAGGTCATACGGGATGATCTCGAGGTGCACAGGCAGGCAGGCAGACACCGGAGCAGCCGCGACAACTCTAGCGGTGACGGCACTCGGAGAAAACGCATCGAAACAGCACAACGAACTGTGGCAGATATAAAACTGCCCTCCAGAAAGCAAGGGCACTCATCAACAGGTATCCCAAGAAGTATCTTGCTCAGGTTCCTTCAGTCTTTTGATCTTCCAAACCATTCATCGAGTCCTCGAGCCCATAGCTTGTTGATCACGAGAGTTTAAAAACGGCAAGGCAAGACAAAAGTCAGCAAAATGTCCTCTTCGCGATCAGGTCGCTCATCTAATGGCCACAAGAAGGAAAGGGGTGCTCAGGTATTGCGCACTACTCCCAACCACCCTCTATCTGTAACAGATCACGGCCGCTAACGCTACTGTCGCCGTCTCAGCGCCCAATTCGTCGAATAATCGAGTCACTCCAGTCCCACAGTGTCAATACCCTTACAGAACTCGTGAGAGTCGAGCGGATAGCGGCTACATGTGACGAGAGTGATGCTGTGGCATTCCAAGGCCCAATGACGGAGGCATGGAGCTACTATGTCAGCAGCAACCAGTTCCTCACTGAGTTGAGGGGACTGACAAGGAATTACCCATTCTGTGGAGATATCGTGACGGACGCGCAGATGAGAGTGCGCAGTGACCCTGAGAGCAATAGGAGCTGGAACATGGCCTGGCTCTGCCTTCAAAAGACTGTCAATGAGTGAGTTTTCAGTTACTTGGCTCTCATAACACCCGGGACTCCTCCGAATGACACCGTGCTTCCTGCTTGAGTACATGTGCTGATAGTGAATCACCAGCAACCTTGTGGCTACATATGCTGCCATAGAGGCCATGAGACCTGAAATGTGGGGTGGGCGTGAGCCTTCTCCAGAAGAAGCCGACCAGCTGGCTCAGTGTTTTGAATTTGAGTGGAACAATGCTGTGACCACCATGTTGCGCCACTGGTCTGTGACCCCGACGTGGTATTGAGTTGCTACAGCCGGCTGTGGGCCCCTAGAGAAGTAGTGTTCCCGCCACCTCATTACAACCACAGCTGGAACTGTGAAACATATGGAACACCGGGGAGTGCTATGTACATATCAGAGTCGAGCACCGCGCGCAGGAAACACGCGGGATCAAGATACGATTTTTCGTCGTGGCTAGCTAGGTTACAGCACCGGTCTGGGAGAATGCAACATAGCGTCTGATTTGTCTGATGTGATATACCCATCCCTTGCCCAATTGTCACTTATACGAACAAAACAGTTGGTTCGGATTTGACGGGAAGGAGGCATGCGCTCGTGCTCCTTCAGGTGTGCTTGGTGCGCCAGTTGCTTCCTTCTCATGTCATGGTCCCAGGCTGGGAGGCGGACGTCGACAGGGTTAGGGGTACACCACGCTTGGGAATGTCCTCCGTACAAAAGTGGGCCATCTCAAGACGTCACCGCCTGTGACAAACATTTGCGACAAAGGAAGCCCAGTTCCCAGTTTTACCTGCTGACCGCGACAATCAACAGCCACCTGCCTCTACAGCCTGGACCTCTAACCCCGATCATTGCATCCCATCTCATCCCATTTGCAGTGATCTGGCCTCTCAGGGCCGACTGCATCTGGCGATACAGGCAGATGGCCTCTCAGCATGTCTTGGGCCCCGCGTGGGACACACACCCCTCACTCGTCATCTCGAGCAATGAGACGGTCGGCAGTGATGTGAGTACGCCCCCGCCTCAAGATCTGCTCACAGCATACCCCCAGGCCCCTGCTTTGATATGGTCAGGCTTGATCCAGAGCTGGGACAGTCTTGTGAGGTCACCTCATTGACAAATGCAACAGTCGAATCAGTCAGCATCTCTGCCCGCCATCTTAGCTGCTCTCATCCCGTCCTTGATCAGCGCCGTCTTCCTCCTCACAGTGTTCGTCCTCATCAAGCGCCCGCTTCGCAGGATATACTCGCCAAGAACCTATATTGATGTCATTCCTGAAAAGTAAATCTAACCCCTCCATCCTGGTCTTCCCCAATCCTGCGCCTGCACTGCTGACATCGGGCAGGGATCGCACACCCATATCCAGTCTTAGACGCTTCGAATGGGTCCGAACAATCAGACAGCTTGACGACAAATTCGTTCTTGAGCATTCCTCGCTTGACGCATACCTGTATCTCCGATTTCTCAAGACATCTGTCTTCATCTGTTTTGTCGGAGCAGCCATCACCTGGGTCATCCTCTTCCCCGTGAATGCGACCGGTGGAGGGGATGAATCCCAGCTTGATCGACTTGGTTTTGGTAATGTGCGTCACAAGGACAGACTATATGCTCATGCTGTGGTAGCTTGGGTTTTCTTTGGATTTGTTATGCTGGTCATTGCCAGAGAGCGAATGTGGCTCGTTGGACTTCGCCAAGCCTGGTACCTAGCTCAAGCGAACGCTTCTCGCCTCTCATCACGGACCGTCCTTTATCTCGACCCGCCGAAGGAGGCTTCCACGGTCTCTGACCCGCAGCAAAACTTCGGCAGCGAAGCAAGACAACAATGGGTCGTCAAAAAGACAAAGTCACTTGATGACGAGGTCGAGTCGAGGGATGACAGAACAGTGAGACTGGAATTCGCCGAAGTCTCGTACCTCAGACAAGCCAGCAAAAAGATCGCCGAAACCCGTCGGAGAGAAGGCCTAGAGGCCGAAGGAAGTGCAGAGAATGCTGCAATTGAGAGTGCACGTCCCCGTGAGCGACAGTACTATCTCACCGGCAACGCGGCCGATCTTATCCAACACCTGCGCAACGAGGTAAAGGAAGCAGTGCAGAAGGTCGCTGAGAAGCGGGACTCCTACTCGGCTGAAAATGCAAATGGGCATAATCGATGTGCAATATTTGTTGAATACGCAACCCAGTCTGCTGCGCAACGAGCCTATCGAGGCGAATCCAAGTCTCGCCTTCCCGTGCCTCCCAGCCTCGCCATTCAGTCAAGACTCATTGGCGTGGTTCCGAACGAAATAATATGGCGCAATCTCGCAATGCCACAAGCCGAACGGCTGTCCAAAAAGTCAATGGCAAATCTCCTGATAGCGCTTCTGATCATCTTTTGGTCAATCCCAACGGCCATTATCGGCACAGTATCAAACGTGAATTACCTCGCCGACAACGTCTCGTGGCTCTCTTGGATCAACAGCCTCCCAGACTCTCTCCTTGGGCTTCTCACAGGCTTTCTGCCCCCGTTTCTCACGAGCCAGTTTGCATCCTACTTGCCGAACCTAATGCGACGTGAGTCAAACCCGGATGACCTCTTACCCTCCTTCTAGACTGCACCCAGACCTTCTAGACTGCATAGTTGACATCTCACTTTAACACAGATGTGGCCAAAGCCTCGGGACAACCTACCATAGTCACGGCTGAATTGCAAGTCCAGGCATGGTATTACACATTCCAGATCATCCAAGTGTTCCTGGTTACAGCTCTATCTTCGTCTGCCACGGCCTTCATCCCAGTGATCGTCAACGAGCCGCACCACGTTCCCCAGCTACTCGCCGACAATCTTCCGAAATCATCAAACTTCTACCTGACTTATTTCATCCTTCAGGGGCTCGCCTGTTCGTAACCCCCCCCCCCTTTTGTGGTTTTCCTTTGGTTGGAAGATCATCCGCCAGCTAAGGAGCACTTCGAGTTGTCTTGAAAGTTCATTCACTCAGAAATCATCGGCCTTTCGTAGAATACTACTGAGAGGTCGTGTTTTTGGGGTTGAATGGACCAACTTGGTAACCTGAAGTGCTCCTGACTGATTCCGGTCTTTTCGAGAGTTGTCAAGTCATACTGATAAGACAACAGCATCCGTAAAAAATATCATGAATTGGTCGGACCTGCTTCAATACCTTTTCTTCGAGATCTTCATCTACAAAACCCCGCGTGACAAATTCAAACAGTATACCGGCCTCAAGGGAATTGCATGGGGAAAAGTCTATCCGAAGTTCACGAATTTCGTCATTATTGCCTTGGCTTACAGCTGCATATCACCACTTGTTCTGGGATTCGCAGCTGTGGGATTGTCCCTCTTCTACCTGAGTTATCGCTATACTTTACTCTTCATGGTCCAGCCAAAAATCGAGACCAAGGGGAAATGCTATACGCGCGCGCTACAACAGATACTGGCGGGTATATACATTGGCGAATTATGTTTAATTGGGCTTTTCGGCCTGCGGAAGGCCAAGGGTCCTGCAATTATGCTGGCTATCTTGTTCTTCGCAACAATTGCCTACAACATCGGGACTAACCGTTATCTGAACCCGCTGGAGGACCATTTCCCAGAAGACATGGTCGATTCTGAGAATGGAGAGCAGGATCCTCTTCTGTCTGCCGCAGAGGAAGGCCAGGCTGTTGCTGCTGGAGATGCACGAGTAGACGAGCACGAGCGATCTCATGTGCAGCGTCTCGGCCGAGGGATGCACCTCCCACAGAAGGTCGTCTCCCCGATCGCACGGTTCCTTGAGCCACACGTGTACGCTTCGCATCAAGCCATGCGTGCTTTCCTTGCTCGCACAGGAGCCGAGACCGAGCCGGCCCCTGAGTATAGCGAGGAAGACATCAAGAAAGCATACCAGAACCCCAGCCTCACCAGCAAGGCGCCTCTCATATGGTTGCCGAAGGATAATTATGGATTGAGCAAGAAGGAGATTGAGAGTCTGAGCGCGGACAACTTGGAGGCTACGGACGAGGGAGCCTGGGTCAACAGCAAGGGCAAAGTGGAGTTTGACAGGAGTAACCTGAGAAGTTCACCCGTCTGGAAGCAGCCAAAGGCTTATTGAAATCGGAGAGGAGAGGCTTGACGGGAGTATACGAAATGGAAGGTTTTGATGAAAGCGAGAACAAGAATAACACGATACGTTTGGGGAGCTTAATATTCATTTCGTATCAAATATTTGTTTCCCTCGTGCGGAAGTCTCCTCCCTTCTCCAATGAATCGAAGCCGGCATTGGAGTCCCAGCGACGAACGGTCAGACCATTTGCTGTGATATTGCAATTCGGAGTCTTCCGTACTCTTTGCTGGCTCTTTGATCGTCCTGAGTTTACTGAGATTTTAAGGGCAGTCCCTGCATAATTTGCTTGAAAGCGTGCAGTGATGCCTCGGGTTCTACATGAGCGTTCTCGTCAGCGTACTGATTATCGCATTACGAGAGTTTCAACTCACGATAATAAGGGACTTCATGGCCCGCAGCGTAAACTCTCCAATAATTCAAGTTGCTGACCGTCTTGTACTGGCCGTAAGATGTGCCATTCAGCACATATTCCTGGAGAGCGGTTGCTTGGAATTCCGCTGAGTCGCTGTACTCGATCTTATTCGCGGAACGCTCATTACCAAGATAATTGCAGATCCAGTCTGTTTGGTCATGAGTTAGCAAGTTGCTGTGAGACAGACGGTGCAGACTTACCAGCATCACCAGCCCAGATTAAAGTCGAAATGCCAGACTGCACGACTGTGCTCAAGGTGTCGAGGAACGACCGCGTATCATCACCAGTATTTGCTATCTTATAATAGGGCTCATCCGAACACTCGCCGTATGTCACTTGGGCGCCGATAGCCTTCACGATGTCCGGCCTCTGCAAATAGGCAACATATGTCTCCGGAGGAAACGGATCGACGCTCGGCTGTCTGATGTCATAGACGTCAAAATCGACATCGCCGTTCTCAACTGCGCCCTCGACGGATTCGTAGCATTGATTATCAGCATTCAGACAAGCTGTGTCTGTCCCCGTCTCTCCTGGACACTGCTCCAGAAGGGGCAGGCATTGTGTTTCGTAGGCTTGTTGAAGTTGGGCGTATTGTGTGTCGTTTATTAGTTGACGCCAGGTGTTGTTGTATCCGAAATCGATATAAGCTTGCTCCTGAATAATTGGATCGATCCACCCATTGTTGATGCCGAGCGCGACAAGGTCGATCACTTCGCCGGTGACTGAGCCGTTGGAGATGGCCTTGTTTTGACTTTGGAAGTATTCTGGACCCGTATCAGCTCTGTGCTCGATAGATATTTCACTTACGTTCAAGGGACTTTTGTACGTACCAGCAAACTCAGGGCCGTAGTGGCCGCCGTAGCTTTCTGTCCACAATCCAAATTCTCGGCTCTCGTAGGTGGGGAATGCCTCGAAGAAGGCCTGCATGAATTTCCAAACGAATGGCGCAGCCGTCACAGTAGAGGTGGCTTCATCGTCACCGAAGCTGAACCCGGTCCCTTGTACCTGTTAGTCACCTGCTACGGAGCCTAAAGTGCTGTATTCTGGAACATTCCACAACATGAAAGACGGGGATCCGTAAAAGGACAAGAATGTGCTTACCGATAGGCTGATCCACGTAGAGCATGTTGGCGTATGAATTCCAAGAATATGGGTTCAAGCTTGGCTCAGTCTCATTATTGACAAAATGGCAAGGCCCGTGTTCCTGAAACAGCCCAATCATCGACGAGCAGCCCGGACCGCCATTGAGCCATAAAGCCAGGGGAGCTGTCGATGCATTGCTGCGAGCCTCGAAGAACCAGAACCACATAGACATATTTGTCCCGACTGAGAGATATCCAGAGTATGTCTTGACCCCGGGCGTGGTCTCGCAGATGCCGCTGTCCTCGACAATCTCCAGCGTGGCATTCGTTGCAGCGTGCTCGTACACGCTGTACGTTATGCCGTTGGTCTCGCGCTTGAACATCTTGCTTGCGCCGCTGCTTGCGCCGCGGGAGGCAACAGACTTGGGCGCATGCCAACTAGAGGCAGATGCAGCTGGGAGGCTTGCTGTAGCCAGCGCGAAGATGACGTTGAGGAACCTCATTTTGTTTACTGCTGTCTTCGACTAAAGAGCGACCAAGACGAGGGGCAAGCATGACAGCGCCTAAGTATTTTCTCAACTAGAAGGAGGGGAAGGGCCGGCTTATATACGGATCACTGGCACAATCCCGAGGTCGGTCAGCAATGCCCATTCCTGAATTGCCTCGTCACCACCCATGCGGAGAACCTCGCCAAAAGTGGACCTCCAGGATGGCCGCATGGTGCCTGCATGATGTTGATGAATTACGAAGCCTATGCCTGCCTGCCTTGCCCTTGCAGCAAGCCGGTCGCATCCGCCCCCTGCATCATAATACCACAGCAGTTAATCAGTGCGACACGTACACGATGTGTGCTGTACGGCATAAGTCAAAGCTGGGCTACGGGCCGGCGGGAATGTTCTTGATGGCTGTGACAAGATGTCAAGAGCAAGGGTACTTCAATTACCAGGACGCCAAGAAAGCTTATCTTGAAATCCCGAAGCTTGCTTCGATGCTGGTTTGGACCCCACATGGACTAGCGCCCCTGTCGGGTCAAACGCATTGGAGTGACCACCTGCCTCTATGATATTTTGTACGGTCAATGTCTTGGGCATGTCCTACGTACATCTCTCTGATAACATGGATTCTGTGGCTAGAAATGGTTGCTATCAATCATAACGACGTGACCCCCCTACAGCAACGAATCGGGATTAAAGGCAGGGGGCCCACGTCCTCACTCTCGTCGTCTTATCAAGTTACGACCTTCCTGACCGGGTAAGGATCACCGGAGCACAAACACAGCCCATTGGTATGCCCGTGCTGTCTAGACTGGCATTCGTGTCGACGAGCTCCATGCAGACTCGTGCCGAACGCTAAATTCAGGCCTGCTTGTCACGAGAAGTAATTGTCGTGTCGCATTTGCGAGTTGAAGCTGTTGAGTACGATCGCAAACCATGTCTACTAATCTCTCAACTCCGTCTGTCCCAAGTGCCAACAGAGTTTGAGAAATCGGAGATTTGTAACTGCAAAACTGGAGATTACACTGGTACATCAACTTACGCCGTAGCTGTAGCCAATCAGAGCGCATCACCCCGGGCCTAATTCGCCAACCCACACCCAACACCCACATGCCCAACTCGATTTTAGGCGTGTGAGGTGGGCGTGTGAGGTGGGCGTGTGAGGTGGGCGTATGGGTGTTGGGTGTAGTTGTTGGGTGTGCGAACTCTTCCGTGGCTTAGAGGTGGTGATGTACCGGTGTACCCTCCGTTTTTGTAGGTGCGAATCTCCTTATTCAATCTTGATATACTATGCTTGATCTTCACAGCTGACAAAATCCGTATATGCCTAACTATCTGCCCATACAGCAAACGTTAGAATTTCTGACAATTCCTCACGTCTCCAGAGGTGCACCTTCAGGTACTCCAATTGGCCAATGGCAGTTTCCCCTGCTTTGAAAGCTGCATGAATTCCCTATTCCGTGCCACCTATTACACTGTTAGAGCAGAGTTCCGAGCAATAATCGAGCAGCTCGAGCAAGCATTTGGAAAGGAATCAGCCATTTTACACAAGGCGAAACCCTTGATTCAACACTAACAATTAAGTCGACACCAAGTACTATCCGCACGTCACTGGGCACCGTAACTTAGCATCTGTTGTCCGATAAGAAGATTGTGATGTGATTAAACTCGGTCACTGATGCTGCACCGCAGGAACATCAAGCTTGTCTGATTCACATCCCGGGCTTTAAATGACACTTCAGGCCTGGGAGAGCGGATCGAAAACAAGGGCGATGCCCTCAATGACTGTGGATTAACTACTTCTAGAGTCCAGCAGCTGGCGGTATTCGCCGATGCTGAACGGTTTAGCGACGTCCTACATCCCCCAACGTTACCAATCTGGGTATATAAGTTTATGTTTAAGAATGAGATTCCTATCGCCGTTTGCTTCAGATACTGCCATCATTGAAGGCGCAGACAGCACCATGGTCTATGTGACATAATGCGCGACGTAACCAACTTCCATCATCGAGCCATAACCATCCAAAGTGGCTGAGTTGGGATACCCAGGCTTGTGTGATTGATTAGCAATGATCTATCAGCACTTTCCAGAAGGATGGAGAAGCAACTCACCCATGTGCCACCAACTGCAACGTTCAAGATGAAATATAGGTTTGAATGAGCCAGCGCATTCCAGATGTCTTGCGTTAACTGACTACCGCTGAGCTGATGAAACTGTTGGCCATCCATGTACCAAGTGATAGTCTCAGTTGCCCAATTGTTAGACCTGCGGTCCCATTCGATCCTCCAAGTATGCCAGCCCTGGTCAGGAATGGCAATGGAGTTTCCAATCCCGGTTCCTTCGTTACACACACCTCCTGGGTAGGTGCCACAGTGCGCTGTGCCGTAGCCCCTGAGGATGCCGTTGACGGTCTCCATGATGTCAAGCTCACCACAGGCGGGCCAGCTCCCGCCCTCGCGCAGCGACTGGCCCAGGATCCAGAAGGCTGGCCAGATGCCCTGCTTGTTGGCAATAGCGTTCGTGCCGAACCTGATTTGAGCCTCTGCACGGGTGATGGCTCCCGCCTTCGGCGTGAAGGTGTACTTGCTTTCGATCCTGCCCGACGTCCAACCGTATGTGGTGGACGAGTCCCTCCAAGGGACCAGTTGTAAAGTCTGGCCACCGGAGCACTGCACGTTTGCCGAGGACGCAGTGTACTTCTCCCACTCAGCGTTGACACCCAGGTAGCCGGTGATGATGTTCCAGTTATCGGATGACGGAGGCGAACCAGCCGCACCAGCGAACTGTGACTCCCATTGCAAGCCAAAGCCTGAGTACCCTGGGGATGCCCAAGCTGACACAAGAGTGGTAAGACCCAAGCTGGTCAAGAGAGACCTGGGATTGATCGCCCACATTGTCTTCCCGGCTCTAGGGCTCGTACGTAGGGTTTGCAGCAAACAGGGTAGCAGAGGGTAGCAGGTATATTTAATGATGTAAGGAGTGTATGAGTAGTATGTGCGTTTCTCCAAAGGAATGGGTTATACCGGAGCACAATGAATTGGACTGGGAAAGCTAGATGAGAGACAGGCATGGCTTCAAGCATTTGAGAAGCGATGGGGCATACTTATATCATGTTTGAGCAAGCCCAGCGGGAGACGTGTACTTTTTCGCGTGCCGTTAAGCGGCTATTGTCACGTTTTGTCAATTTCATTGAACCAGCAATGCTATTAGTCCCGTGTCAGAATGGCAGGTGAGTTATATGCCAGATTCGTCCAGGATGAGACCTCTTCCGCCGAGGACGTGGACAGATGCCAGACACATTGCCTCTTTAGGCCACCTTCCAGTGGCCAGGAGTGAGCAGGCGGACATCCAGTCCAGGCGCCGTGATTTGGTGGGTTGTATCAGAGCTAGGCATGTCGGTGCCTTGTGATTCCAGAAGCATCTCGTTGCGGTAATGTCGCCGAGTAATGAGTCTTGACGGGAAGTCAGGAGGTAGGCCGAGAAACTAGGAAGGTTCAATTTCACCATGACGCGGCGCGGCAGAGCAAGGAGCACATGCTGCAATCCCAAGCAGCAGTCTTGAGGTACCTGTCATGGAAGGCTGATTGGTAGAGGTCCCAATTGGAGGGGCCGCCTGGGACAAGTGCGATGGCAGGCCTGCGATTTTCATTGGGCGTGTCTTAAATGAGGGCTTGCTATTGGGGTGCCGCGACGACCAGCTACTCAGGTATTTGGCCACCTGCCGGAGCCAGTAGCAGCACATGGAACCAGCCAGTCTGCCCAGTGTAGGGAAAGGTGCCAACCGGGCGGGGCCCTTGGTGGAGAGTGGCCGGCAGCTGTACTCCTGTTCCTGCAGATGAGTTCCGTAGGAGCCAATAGCAGCGAGATCTAAAGCTGTCAAAAAAAAAAAAATATCTTGGGCGAGACCTGTGACGATCGCTTGTGACACTGGACACAGGTTGTGGGGAAGGCTCAGCAGGGGCAGCACCTGCACGGGATGCCCAGCCTTCTAGAAACTCGGAAGGCGCCGATGAACCTTGGGAAGGCCCAGGATTGTGGCTGCAGATCTACCGTGTAACACTGACTGGACTGGCATGCTGATCCGAGATGAGATGAACCCAAGGGTTCGAAGCGCTGCATGAACCTTGATAAACACAGTCTCGGGCTTGAGACCCGGTAGCCAGAAATGTCCATAACGAGCAGGTAACATGTATCCCGAGGCGCCAGCCCCAGCACCTGGCAAGTTGGACGGATTTCTGCAGACCAAAAATCCACGGCCAAGGATCAAGCGTACCAATCTTCCCAAGACGTCGGCCACACATGTGGTCCCTATGTTGATGTCTGGGAAACATTATGGCCGGGGCCACTGCGACGACTACATACAGATTGGCTCAGCATTAGACTAGCCTGGGGATCAATCGAGAAGGAACATTTAGTCGGCAGGCGAGTCGGACCGTCCCCTTTTCACCCTTCCCTCCCCCCATGACCACCTCCAATTACTACGTTACCTCTCCCCCACGTTGCCGTCCAGTCAAATCATCGAGCGCGAATTCCACGTCGCGTCACTCGGGCAGGTCACGTCTTTGGTCCTTACTCTTGTGAGCATATCAAAGCGTCGCGTGGCCAGCCAGATAGAAGTCGAGGACTGTTATAAATGTGACCAAAGTGATGACCGCCTTCTGCTGCAAGTTCGCACTAGTCAACGTGGATTGGGTAATGTTGGCTTCAAGTAAGCCAGCCCCTCGTTGCCAATCTACCTAGTGATGTGCTTTACACTCCTCTTTGAAGGTAGTTTGATCCTGACCCCACTACATTGCGGTCGCTATGCTGCCGCTGCTTCTTGAATGGCGCATAGTCATCTCCAGACCGCAGCATGTGGCATATCAACCAGGCTTATGGCTCGAATGCATGTGGGCTTGATCCTGTGCAGCCGGCCGCAGGAAGAGAACACCACCTGACTTGTCACTCTTGGCGAATCTTAACGGCGCAATGGTACGTCTGGCAGTAGGTAGTACACTGGGATTCGCGTTACACGACTCAAGTTGCTAGCCTCCATTCGGAACGCAATGTGAGACTGTTCCGTCATAACTGGAATCCGGATATCCTCTTTCTACAGCTACCTGGACAACGCCAATTCCTTCTGCACCGCCAACCTGGCATCAGGCCAACTCTGAGCCCTGACGATAATCATGGGGACAGTGGACATCCCCGTATCCTTTTCCTCCAGAGTGGCTAGCTTGAGGTCGCATAATCAATTTTGTTTTGAGGCTTGAAGATGTCGCATGCAACACCATAAGAACATGCAAATACATCGGGACATATATACCGCGTCTGGTCCACTCGCCCCCCCCCCCCCCCGGGCAAATGAAAAGGAAACAGCCAGACGCCCGATGCACTTCTTTTTATGTCACCGTGGTACTGGACTTTGAATTGTGCGTTCATTCTTCAGGTCTAGATGTACACTCTCAAAAATTCGACAAGAGCCATGATTGCCATGGCCTGACCGTACGGCATACTTGTGATAGGGATGTCCTTGTAGTGCTGCAAAGTATCGCTGTCAAGAACATTAGCACAATTCTGTAGGCAAGAGTTCTGTCTCGACTTACCCCATGGCAGTTCCGAAGGAGGTGTTGAGCAGCTCTCCATTCTCATCCACGTTTTCAATGACCGCCTTGATGGCTCTCACCGCAACCTCATCATATCCTCCCACTTTGGCGCCCTTCAACTTCCGGCAGTCATCGGCTTCAGGGGCGGAGACAGGAGTGGACGGGTCAAGATAGCGCTTCCGTCTCGACTTGAGGATGCCAAATGCGAACCCGGCTGTGGCGCTGGCTTCTGGATAGGAACCTTCACCTTCTGGTATGTCTAGAAGTGTCCTCCAGAGACCCGATGGCGCTTGTAGAGATGAGAGTGCTGAGCATTGCGCCTCGAGTACGTCACGGAGGTGCGATCCCACAGGGTCTGTTGCCAAATCGAGCTTCAAGAGCTCAATGAACTCGGGGATCACGATGGTCAACCAGCTGTTGCCCCTAGCCCATCTTGCCTCTGCAAAGTTGTGCCCCAACTTGCCTTGCTTGGCGCCGTCCTTGTAGAACTCCCAGCCGTGGAAGAACAGGCCTGTCTTGGTGTCGAACAGATACTGGCAGTGGAGTATGAATTGCTTCTTAGCCTCAGCAACATAGTGCGGCCTGTTCAGCACCAGGCCGATCTTGGCCAACGGGAGAACAGTCATCATCAACGTGTCATCCCACAGCTGACCGTCGTGCAGGCTGACATATGTAACGTGTTGCATTCCGCCGAATTTGGTCCGGTCAAGGTCCCGATATGCCCACTCGGCCCAGCTGTCCAACCACGGCAGGTAAGCCGGGTTTTTTGTCTTTTCGTACACATATGCCAGGGTCAGGAACACTGCCATGGTATTGATATTTTTTGTTGTCCCACCAGCGGCGAAACGGTTGGCGAACCAGGCCTCGATGATCTCGAGACATTTCTCGTCGCCCGTCAACTCGTAGTACTGCCATATGCCATACAGACCGACACCGTGGGTCCACTCCCAGTCGTTCCATCCCTTAGTGTCGATGACACGGCCGTCATCCAGTTTCAGGAGGAACTCGCCGGTCTTGTCTTTGATGTTGACCATGCCATCGATCAACAGCTTGATCTTGGCATGGACATCGCTGGATTTGATGCCCTGTATCTCGGTGGGCATCTTACTTGAATGTGTGCTGGTACTTGATCAAGATAGACAGAAAAAGTACAATAGCAGTAAAGCTAGCTGCGAGCCTTGGGTGGGTGTGGGAGGCACGTGATGCTGCGAGTGAAGGTTTGCTGTCAAGCGGTATATAGTCTGGAAGGATGGCAAAGGAGAGTCACTGGAACTTGAAGCATCCAGATGCAACACTTCAATAGTGAACGACAGTGGCCGGTACCTATGCAGCTCATGCGTTGCGTATGCGGTGGAGCGTTCTCGCGGTCCAATACACTTGTGTCTTGAGGAACCGAGGATGTGATGGTGGAGAATCTGACCCTCCCTGACAGCTCAACAAACAGAAGCAGCCGGCGCAGCTCGGACCGAACTGCACCGACAGACGAAGGTGTCGCCGGGGTTGCAGGCGGTGGCCAAGCACCCGTGAAGCCTTGGCACCAAGACGGGTCCAAGAAAATCAAGCACGGAGGCTCTACCTAGCCGTCCCGGGTCGCTCGACATCGAAAGCCCCGGTTTTCTGTATTCCTTCGGACCCCTTTCCCCGCGGGGACAATGGACTCGGGCGGGTCCCTAAGTGGAACCTGGGGATGGCTGCTGTCTCGAATCCATAGAGCCCGTCGTCCCCACAGAGTCAACATCGATACGAGAAGAGAGGACTGGGGGTCAGCAACGCATGCGATGTGCGGGGGAGACGGCGACATTGCATGCTTTGCAAGAGCCCACTCACGCCATGTCAGCGGACAAACTGGAAGATAGTGATTACTCTGGGAGGAGGCAAACACCACGCTCGGCCGACATGTCACTTTCTCTTCACCATCCCGCGAAGAAATTGTACGTGGCAATGATGGCGAGTCGCTAATGTCTGCAGGGAGGATGATCCCTTCCCGGCCTTTTCGGGGTCAAGGATAGGGACGCGCTCCCACCCGGACGGTGTCACCAAACACGGCATCTCGGGCCAATGGCCGCCTAGACCCCCAGGACTGTCAATGCTACTCGCTCTCCACGTTCTGTGGGGTCTGGGGAAGTCAAGGTCACTGTCGACAAACACTCAGGCACCTTGGCCAAGCGGTTTCCTAGATATCTGTACCTTGTCTAGCGGTCCTTACCGCTGGACCGGGTCCAATTTATTCGTCCAGGGGGTCAACCATGTTGGTAGCGATTGAAATCCATTCATAAAACTTGACGCTGACCCGTTCTGATTCTCTCTTGTGGCTGTCTGCCAGCCTTCCTGCTCATCTTTATTCGGCCTTCCAGTGTTCTAGTGGATGTTCCTAGGCCTTCCTTTTGGTTCTCTTCTTCTCAGACGCGGCAACCAAGGCCAACCCAGCATGGTAGCATCCGACAACGCTAGAGAAGACATCGCAAGCAGCCCAAACATGGCTACCGACCCGAACACTGAACCGCGGCAAAATGCCGGGCCTGACAAGGTTGAGCGCGTCATGTCCGCCGACGAGGTCGAGTTCGCCAAGGACCATCAGAACTTCTCCAAGGTCGACAAGGAGCTCGCTCAGTATGTCTCAGACGTTCGCATCGACATCTCACCGGAGAAGAACGCCCAACTACTCAGGATGATCGACAAGCGGGTTCTCTCGGTCATGGTTGCGACTTATTTCCTCCAGGCCATTGACAAAGGCACCCTGAGTTTCGCTTCCATCATGGGCATCCGCGAAGACACCAACTTGACCGGCCAGGATTACTCATGGCTGACCACTTGCATTTACATCACGATCCTGATCGTCGAGTACCCTCAGAACTGGACCATCGCTCGGGTTCCCATCGCCAAGTACCTCAGCTTCAGTATTGTAGCCTGGGGTGTAGTGCTCGCCTGCACAGCGGCTTGTCACAACTTCACTGGCCTTGTCATTGTCCGCACACTGCTCGGTCTGTTCGAGTCCGCCTGCCAGCCCGCCTTTGTCGTGCTGTCTTCTATATGGTACCGAAGAGAGGAGCAAGCTGCCCGCGTTACCTATTGGTACATGATGAACGGAGCGCAGCAGATTGTTGGCGGTCTCCTCGCCTATTGCTTCTCCCTCATAACTTCCGGCCCCCTCAAGTCGTGGCAGTGGCTGTTCATGATCTATGGCATCATCTCCGTCATCTTCGGCATCTTTGTTGGATGGTATATGCCTGACAGCCCTATGCGCGCCAAATGCTTCTCAGAAGAAGACAAGCATCTCCTTGTCGAGCGCGTGAGGGACAACCAGACTGGTGTTCAGAACCGCGTCTTCAAGATGGACCAACTCTTGGAAGCCTTGACTGACCCACAAGTCTGGGGGTACTCGGCTATCGCCCTCACCACCACACTGCCCACCTCTGGCCTCGGCGCATTCCAGGGCATCATCATCAAGAGCTTTGGCTTCTCCACGCTGCAGACTCAACTCCTGGCCATGGTGTTGGGCTTCTACATTATAATCATCCTACTTGGGTCACTGTGGATCGTCAAGAAGACCGGGCAGAACTTGCTTGTCATGTTGGGATTCGTTCTACCGTGAGTGGCTACTGTCCAATGTGTTGATCTAGTGCGATGCTAATGCTCTGCGCCCCTTCACAGATGCTTCGCAGGCACCATATGCTTGATGATCGTCCCCCTGGAAACCTTCTCCCAGCACGTTGGGCTGCTGATCTGCTACTACATCACGTTCTCTTTCTGGAGTGCCCAAACATTGTCACTGTCGATGATTTCTCGGAACGTAGCCGGGCAGACCAAGAAGTCGGTTGCAATTGCCCTCAATTTTATCATTTGGGCTACTGGAAATGCCATCGGTAAGTCGTTGCTTGTCTGCAATACTCTCTATCTGCTTCTTGACTGACCTTGTCCGTCTACCCGCAGGTCCTCAAGTCTTTTTGGCTTGGGACGGCCCTCGCTACTTTATTGCCTTTGCCACTCATCTCGGTTGCTACGGTCTGCTAGTTGTTGACATCATCCTTTTGCGTTGGTACCTGACCGCGCAGAACAAGAAGCGTGACCGGCTGGCCGCCGAGGGTGTTCAGGAGGCACACGATGAGGCATTTGTGCATGCCTTCGAGGACATAACGGACAAGAAGAACCCCAACTTTAGATACGTCTACTAGACCCGGAAGTCTAGCTGCTGGAAACAGAGTGTACCGCAATTTTGTATATTTAGAAGGTCTCTGTGAGGCTCCAGCGTTGGCAGCCTCTTCCGAGGCAGTGAGAATGCATTACCTCCCTCTTTACAAAACACTCGGAATTCCTATTCCTTTACCGTGCCATTGCTTGTGCTAGGCGCCACACCATTACAAGTTGACCAGAAATACAGCCGTTGCTAGACCACGCACACCATCGCTAGAGACCACAGTCCCGTTGGGCCCAATTGTCCAGTCGTCATGCCCCCACAGGCTAGCTCCAAGCGTCGAGGCGATGAATCCATCAGGCAGAGCGATGGAGACGGGCAAAAGCCCATCGTAGTAACTCAGGCTCACCACGCTGATCATCGCCTGCCCGCTCACCTCGCCCACCCACGCCGCAGCATCGAGATCATCGGAGCCTGTGACTTTGAGGTCCTGGTATCTCGGTGCGCCGAGAAAGAAGGGCGCTGCAAGAGTACCGGTGAAAAGCCCAGCCATATCTCTGGTGATGTTGAAAAGCTCGGACGTTGTCGGATAATTCCACATTGTCAAGCCTTTGGCGCCGTGGTTTACTGCAAGGAGCGTCATCACGTCCAGCTCGGGGGCGGTCGGGTACCTCGCCCAGAAGGTCTCGTTCCCAAATGCCTGAGGCGCAAACCACTGCGTCTTTGCCCAGCCGATCAGCTCGTCCCGGCGTCGGAACTCGTCGAGCCGATGTGGAATGTCGTCAAAGACAGTCGGGCCAATCCCGCAGTTATCGCAACCGCAGCAGCCGTACGTCGAGTTGCACACCGTTTCATAGACTGTCGAGTAGGAGGCATTGGTCGAGATGGGGTACACGTCAGGTGCAATAATGTCAGCCCCAGCAGCGTATTCACTGTAAAAGAAGTCCTCGCAGTTGAGAGCGAGACTGACAGGGTGGTAGGGGTCGAGTTCTTTGCTTTTCCTGTATGCAAGGCCGGTGGAGTTGACAGGATTGCTTTTCCCGTCCGGTTCATCGCTCTGATACCAGCTCAGGATGCTGGGGTGAGTGCGCAGGGCAGTGACCTGTTCTATCATCTCGGTCGAGTTATCCGGCTCCCATATAACGTCATACTGGAGCCATATACCCAATTCCGCCGCTCGGTCAAGGTAAGGCTGGAATTGGGCCCAAGGAAACGGCTGCTCGCCAAGAGACCCCGTTGGGACGATATGAACCAGATTGAATCCGAAAGAGGCAAATTCGTCAAGTGAAGAAACGTCGGTATCCCAATAGAGGGTCCATTGCACATAGTATGTGTATGGAAAGATGACGTCCCAGGAGCTGTTCTTGCCTCTCTGCGCGTAGATGCCTCCGTATAAATTATCCAGCCTGGCCACGCTTCCGTAGTCAGGCGGATATGGGAGATACGAGAAGGCGGTATTTGTCGAACATAGGGTCGAATTCGCTAATGCTGCATTTACTGTTAAGTTGTAGGCGTCTAGGCTGGGAGAAAGGCCAGCCAGCGCAAAATGAATTTCGTTATTGATGGATCCAACATCCAATGAAGAGGAGCCCAATGTCCTGTTTCCGGCAAGCACCGTGACTCGCAGCTTTTGTGCTGGAGTGGTGATGGAAGATTCGCCGATGGCTTGGCCCAGCTGATACGACACCTCGGCGCCTACGAGCAAAGCAGCGGTCTCATCTGTGTCGAGATAAATGCTCATGCGTGGTTTCGCGGTGAGTCTGAGCAGTGGGCGGCTGGAAGTGGACGGCTCTTCGAACCAGCCACCAGGGTCGAAGGACGAATTGCTGTCTTGTTGTGAGCCTTCACGAACATGGCTTGTGATGGCACTGCAGCGACACTCACGCCGGTCGATAGGCCTTCCCGCACCAGATGTCAACCCCTGCAGGATTGTTGAACTGGGCGGCCGCTTGATTTATGGCCAGGAGCAAGATCAGCAGAGAGGGCCATGTCGATTTAGAACGACGCCACATCATCGTGCCTTTGAGAGCATTTTCGTTAACAGGTCTGAGATGGCCACAAGACCCCAACCAGTCTGGAGTAGCGCATCATGGTTTCTAAGGTGTTGGCGCGCAATCTTATTGACAATCAGGGTCTCCATGGTTGGTTGCATCGTATCGTCTGTCTGCGTACTTTCGACGAGCGCTGATGAACGTTACATGGCCCCTAAGCCCTGCCGGAACAGCCCAGCGCTTGACTCCACAGATATGGAGAGATCAGGGGTTTGGAGAGCCATGTTTGCAGGGCGACTCCGTTCGGCTCACCTGCCCATTCTCCTGGCCGGGATGCCGCCCCGAACGCTGCGTGATGAAGCCCGGCCTCGGTTCAGTTATGCCCGAAGACTCTGGGCGCCACCGTCTCTGCCGGCCTCAACCAACCCCAACCAACCACATGCACATCTGATAAGCTGCCGGTTGAAATCCAAGCAAGCTGCCCAAATGAACCCACCCGAGCTTATTAGTCAAGGTGGTTGAAGCCAGGCAGGCTCACACGGGTAGTTTGGCCATAATTACAAGGTTCCATCTCTTTCGGACCAGGTGGCAGACGGTTACTGTGTATTCCTGCTGGAAAGAGAGCCAATGTGCCCCTACGGACGGACGGGGCCCTCCCTGTCGACAGGGCTCTCCCAGAAGGCGGGCGGATTCGCTGTCTTCCTCCAAGACAGGTTGGTTGCAACCTGGCGCAACATGTACAATTCAAGATGATATATCGCTATAATTGGCGGCTGGCCGATTCCAGGTCGGTGGGTGAAACAGCGCGCCGCACACACGGCCGCGCAAAACGGCCGCGCGGAAATCCACCGGTGCCCACGCTTGCCCCCTGTTGGGCAGTTGCTCGGCGCTCCGACCCATCGTTGGGCCTGCCACCACCGCCCACCGCCAGCACTAACAGACACGAGACCCTTCTGTTATGTGCAAATGTTAGCTGGAACGTCAGCTTATGTGCCCCGAGTGTGTTTCCTTCCAGGGGGGCACCGTCCAGGGGGCGGTGCCCAACACCGCGACAGCCAACTCCATTGCTAGATTATGATCCATCTTTCTGAGCCTCTTGCGGCCGCCGTCATGCAGCCGTCAATCCTCGGTGGCTCGCTGGGATCGATCTGCACCTATTCCCGTCAGCCGCCTCTGGATGCCCGCACGCCATGTCTGCTAAAAGAAGACCTCGTTGGCCACCAACGCCAGATGCACCAAGTGGGCCACTGGAATGATGGACTTCAAGAAGACGAGAGGCTGCTCGTGAGCCCGCTGAGGTCCAGACCCACTCTAGACGTGCTTCTTTATGCATCAGCTCGGTAGGCGGGCATCAAACTGGCAGAAATTGTCAACATGGGGCTCCTCGATAAAATACGGCCCAGCAAAGGCGACAGCGCCAACATCAAGATCCGCGTCGACTCAAACCGCTGGGAGAGGATCCGGAGTGGCCTGTCCGACCTGGGCACAGGTATCAGACCATGGCTGCCACCACTCAACTACATCACCATTCATTATGCATACTTTCTGGTCGTCGGACTTGTCGCGACCCTTGTTTTCTGGGGCGCTTCTCATCCCGCCTTGAGCGTTGGCTTCTGGGACAGCATGTTCCTGGCCTTTTCTGCCCTGACCTCGGCCGGTCTGAACACGGTCAACATAAGTGGTCAGTACGACCATGATTCGGCGCGAACTTGGGAACGGACTGCTGACGTACTGTAGCAATGTCCACCGGCCAGCAGGTCATCTTGGCAACCCTCCTTATGCTCGGGAATCCGATCATGATATCAATTTTCACCCTAGTCTTCCGCATGTACATCTTTGAGAGACGCTTCAAGGATATCGTGCAGGCTGAAAGAGAGCGGAAGATGAAGGCGACTGGGGCAGTGGTCGGGATGGCCGGCGCCATGTTTGGCCTGCCAGTCATGTCTACATTTCGGTCGCGGGACAAGACTGAATCCAAATCACGGAAGTTTCGAAGTGCAATCACTCGCGATCGGGACCAAGCTAATGTGGCAGGCATGGGCACCAAGATTGCCGGGTCTCCCGAGACAAGCAAATCGTCAAAGTCAAAGTCACCAACACCAAGTGAACTGGCTGAGAAAAAGGCACAGGTTGACTTGGAGGCTGCGAAATCTCCGTTTCTGGCCCCACCAAAGGCGGGCTCTTCAGACATGCCTATGAGCCCCGGAGGGCGAAGCATCAAGTTCCTGGACCCTATTACTGAGGGCGAGCCCAGCCAAGCAACGGGACTTGGAGTCTCGAGTGCATACCAGCGTGGCAGCCCCCAGATGTCCAGGCAGAAATCCGCAGTCAGCCAAGACGCCGGGAGTCGGCGTCCAGCTCGATCGAACCAGGAGCAGTCCTTCAGCATCGACACATTTCTGAAACAGAACAAGGTCAATGTTGGACGGAACGGGCAGTTCCACAACCTGACAGCACGGGAACGGGAATACCTCGGCGGCGTTGAGTACCGCGCAATCAAGCTCCTCATCGCCACGGTGACGGTGTACTTCTTCCTTTGGCAGCTCCTCGGTGCCATCGCTCTCGGAGCCTGGATTGCAGTCAACAACCCTTCAGCCGCTGCAGAGAACGCACAGAACCCCTGGTGGACGGGTGTGTTCATTGCAATCTCCGCATTCAACAACGGCGGCCTGACCCTCTTGGATGCTGGTATCGCGGCGTTTGAGAGCGGGTGGTTCCTCTTGGTGGTCACAGTCTTCCTTATGCTCGCGGGCAGTGCGGCATTCCCTGCATTCCTAAGGCTGATCCTCTGGTGTATGGCTCAGGTGCTGAAATACGGCACCCAAGAGGAAGACTATGCTATCACGAAGGAGACCCTTGACTTCACGCTCAAATACCCGCGCCGAGTGTACACGATGCTCTTTCCCTCGAAGCCTACCTGGTTGCTCGTGGCGATGCTTGTTGTTATGGTGGCGGCAGACTGGATTGCGTTATTGGTCCTGAGCATCGGAAATTCGGCCCTCGACACGGACCCCTCGGGCGAGCGAGTATTCAACATGCTTTTCCAGTCAATTTGTAAGTCCTGTCCTTGATACGGCACATGTGTTTACACTTTCGCTTACCATCTTGAAGCAATTTGGTCCGGAGGCTTCGCTATCATCAGCCCGTCCGCTGTCTACTTTGACATTCAGGTGCTCTGGCTGGTCATCATGTACCTGGAAACATATCCAGGAACCATCACCATGCGAAACTCGAACGTTTACGAAGAGAGGTCGCTCGGGATTTACGCAGGAGACGATGAGCCTGCCAGCGACGAGAAGCCGGACCCTGGAAAAGAAGACACTGCCCAGTTTGCTGCCCAGACACTGCTGTCCGTGCCACAACAAGGCAACAATGGACCGTTCTCCCCCACCTCGGCCTTTTCCCAGACCTCGAACATGTCCACCCGCTCCATCAAGAAACTTGCTCAGGTTGGCCGACGTGGGACAGCCTTTGTCGGACGCCAGATCCAGCGGCGCATGACAGGCTTCCAAGGCGTGGGCGTCAGCGCACCAAAGAGGCCAGGTCGCGTAAACGGAGGTGCATCAAAAAGCACGTTCTTCCACGTCACGCCCAATCCCGGTTCCTCTCCATCACCGTCCAATTCGTCTTCGGCAACAATCACATCCATATCTACTCAGAACGAAGGAGAAGTCGACCTTGTCTCGCAGCACGTAAGGAGCCAGCTCTCCCACGACATCTGGTGGATGGCCCTCGCCATGTTCCTCATTGCAGTTATCGAGACGAAACATAGCCTCCTTGACCCGGAGACCTACAGCGTGTTTAATATCATGTTTGAAGTTGTGAGTGGTTACACGAACATAGGACTGTCACTCGGCCTGCCAAATCAGGCGTATAGTTTTAGTGGAGGTTTATATACGGGCAGCAAGGTCGTCATGGTGCTGGTCATGGTACGAGGGAGACACCGCGGCTTGCCTGTGGCCCTGGATCGTGCTGTAAGGCTGCCAAAAGAGCAACTGGACGACGAGGAAGAGGAAGACGCCGAGATCAGAAGGGCTATAAGTCGGGACACTAGTGTGAGGAGTCGCGTGGTCAGTCGGAGAGTGTCTTTTGACGGGCCGTCGCCGTGAGACTTGGACATACCAAGGATTTACTTTTCAAGTTCGGTCTGCAAATTTCAATGGAGTTCACTTTCGCTGCTGCGCTTCAAACTGCAACGATGTCTTTTTTTTTTTTTGGTAATTTTTCTATTCATGACTTGAATAATTCATTCTCGCCCAGGTGGTTTCTTTCTGCAGAAAGCCTCAACTTGACGCTGGGGATGATGTTTTGAAAGCCTCGAGTACCACCACGACTGGAATTAAATACTCGAGACTGTGAGGAGAGAACGGCAGATACATTTGATCAAGTATCTGCCCCAAAGTTCCGGCTCGTGACACGGGCTGAGACAACACGCTGCAAACGAAGCTCGATGAGGGTGTAATGCTGCATCGTCTTGAAATCTGACAAAAGATCTGTACAGTGAGGAAGACACACAGTAACTGCAAGCATGCATTACACAAGTATATCGGTGTTCAATCAGTGCAGGTTTGTTTCTTTTCTGTCCAAGGTTTCGCGCCTGCAGATGGAGGCCATCCGTCCCCAGCGGGGCTCGATACTTCACGGAAGCTCCTTGGCAGCGCTTTAATCTGCTTGGCATCTCCATCATTGCAGTAACCAGCTACCGAATGCAGCAGCTGAGGTAGATAACTGAGACGGGCAGCACCTCATGCAATCTTTGACCCGCAGATCTTCGACCATGTCACCCTACCATGGGTCTCAGAGCGTGCGGAGATGATGCGGCAAGCATTGATGCCTATAAAAAGGCCGTTGCGCTGCGGTGCTTCTCTGAATGCCCTACCGAGCGGCAACAGCACAGCTACGAGCGGTGTCCAGCTCAGCCCTGGTGCCGTTGTTGGGTCTGGCAGTCCCTCTACCGCCCAGGGGGTGGCGTGCGTCTTCGACCTTACCAATACCGGCAAGCAGGCAGCAGGAGGAAACGTGACTTTGGGGCAGTATACTAAAAGCGACGTGTACCGGCTTGAGGCGGAAGCCGTAGGGGCCAGCGGCTGGAGGGCAGAGCTGCCCAATGAGCTTGCCGTGGCAGAGTTTGGAGCGAAGACACAGATTGTGGTTGCTGTTGCTGCGGCTGACAGTGCAGATACGGAGGCAGTAGTAAGATTGACTGCCACTTCCGAGTCTGATGGTAGTATATCAAGCTCGGCGGAGTGTACCGTCAGTCGACAGAGATCTTCTCGTTCTAGAATGCTCGCTAGTGGGAATGACTGTTCTATTCTTACACAACAAGACGCCATTTCTTGACTTCCCAACATCCACTCGTCAGCCGTGATCTCACAAAAGAATCCTTGCGTAGACGGCGGCCAAAGCCACGATCAATGAAATTGCCCAGAAGATGTGATCGAAAGAGACGGATTCGATCCAGACTTCCACGAGCAGTGGCATCATGTTAAGTGGGAAGCCACGCGGGAATGCCTTCCGTTGGCACTCGACCCTCCTGAGCAGATGCTGTTGGAGGTCCTCTATTTGAAGCACAAGTCTATGTCCAGCAAGATGTGTCTCGTGAACCACGTACAGCGTCTGCTTCTCCGTGTCAACCGACCATTCCCCATCACTGACTTTGATACTAAGATCGTGAGCAGCATAGTGGTAATTCGGAAGGAAGATCTCAGTAACCTGAGTCTTCCCAGTCGTTGGTCCGTGAGGAATGCTTTGCCATTCAAACTCGAACTTGAGAGTTCGTGGGTCCCAATGCGACCGGATCGGAATACCAGCAACCTTGGCTGCATACGGACGGGTCACGACGTCAAGAGTCCTGGCCCCGCGGTATAGTTCGTTGGTCTCGTGCTGCTCGTTGCGGTAGTCGACCATAGCGCTATCGCTAGTGACGATTGAAAAATCTTCGTCATTCCATCCATCGCCATGCTCGAAATCATTGATCGGATTATAATTCCAAAGGGTGAAGCCGACGAAGTTGTCTTCCATGGCGGAGATGAGGGCGTGCATCAGTTCTCGCTGGCTGTCGTAGTTCCCTGTTTTGAATGCCGTGCGTCCATTTACGTCAAAGGGGATGCCAACCTCCCCGATGAGTATCGGGAGCTGGCCGAGGAAGGCGTGGGCATGCCGCACGATATTGCGAAGCTGAGCAGTGTAATTATTGCGCAGGCCGGCCGCACCGAAATAGAGTGCACGTAGGATGAACATGCCCCTGGCCAGCCCCTGAACATTGACACTCATTGACGTGTGGACCTTGCTGAAGAGCACATTCAGGTCGTAAAAATGCGGGGCATAGACAAGGTTCTGCGGGCGATTCAGGTCGATGGTCGTGCTTGCCTGATGTCTTTTTTGCAGCAACTCACGATCCTCAGCCTGCCATGGCGGCATGAACTGGTTGGGCAGAGGCTCAACGAAGGAAAGGTGATTTTGGAAGCGGTTGGACACACGCTCTGTGAATTTCAACACGAATGGAGCATAGCAGTCTCTATACCACTCAATCTTGTGCGCCTCTCGACCAGGCCGTTGGTCGAAATCAAAGTATTCGCGTTGCAAAACAACGGCATGTTTCTTCCGCTCATCCCAGTCCCAGACGCCATGAGTACGCCAAACGCACTTGCCCATGCCTCGGGGCCTGTCAACAACAGGATTTGTGGCGGTCGCCGTCAGCCAGGCAGAACGACCCTTTGGATCGACCAATGTCTGATGGGACTGACGAGTCGGCCACGGCCACGATTTGACGTAGTATGGAACCTGTTGTGGGTAGCCACTCCCAAGCGCTAGTGACTGGGTGAGGGAAGGGAAGAATCCTATGTGCAGGTCTGTGTTGTAGTTCCAGCCGTGGAAGTTCTGCAGATTGATCAGGCCGCGGTCCGGCTCGTTCATGGGCTCGAAGCCCAGGCATGCCTCGAGAGACCCCACCTCGTCGGCGAGCCGGCCAAACGCCTCGATGAGGGCATCCTGGAGGAACTGCTGGATTGAGACCTCCTCGGCGTCACGTTTGCCATCCAGAGGTGACCGGAGACACTTGAGATGCGGTGCAAGGGCTTCACCGGCCCAGAAAAGCGTCGCCATGGTGGAGGCGGCCAGCTTCTGATTCCCAGACGGCCACACGAAGGGGCCACTCGGCTCCCGTTCGTTGGGCTGTGCTCTGGCTCGCCTCGCCTCGTCCTGTCCATGGATGTAGGCAGCGCCCGTGTCGGTGAAAGCCTCCATGTCGAGGCCGGCAGCCTCTAGGGTCCAGCCCGGGGCACCGCTCCCCCCACAGAACCGACTCCACACGTCCTGGTGGGCGCAGACGAAGCACTTCAGGCCGTACCTGGGCATCATGTCGATGAGCTGCCGGAGGTAGGCAACATAGTCCAAGTCCATGTCTGTGCTTGGGTTGGGGCCGGCGTGAGCAAGAGATTCCCACGTCACGAGCAGCCTGATCAGAGGTATTCCCCAGGCCTGCAGCCGCCGGAAATGGAGGGGTGCTTCCTCGAGTGGGAAGGGCCGGCCCGTAAAGTCGACGGTGCGGTGCTGGTAGAAGCTGTCGCTGTCCCACAGGTGTGTCAAGCCGTTTGGTTTGGTTGGCATCTTGCTTGCACCCGCGACGTTGAAGCCTCGCAGGCATACTGTCCTGCCGTATGCATCAACGAAGCGCCCATCTTGGATGCGGATTGGGCCACCAAGCGCCGCCTCGGACAGGTCCGCCGCCGAAAACGTGGTGTCCATGTGGCTATCGGGCTGAGACCATCCCAACTGGATTCCGGTGTGATTCGACTAAGGAGACCCTGGGGGTGTATAGGAGGAGTTCAAGCGGGCATTAAGAAATTCGGTCGCTGAGAACAAACGACGGGCACAACCACGCAGTCTGGCTACGCTCGGATGCAATTTGGCAGGCGTGGACTGCCACAGAAGTAAACCTAGTAGGAAAAGGAATGGCTGGTAAACATGCCAGTTGATTGAAAGATGAAGCCTTGCCCTCGTCGTTCCAGGTGGGCGTCTACTAGTATGTCAGACCCAGCTGTTTCCACGGTTGATTTCCCGGACGCTCTCCTTCCAACACACCTGGCCTGTTGCATCGTCGTCGGCAGTGGAGCCAGGCGAGTGGAGCCGCAGCGGAGCATTTTCTTGGCGACCCGGACAAACAAATGTCCATTTGCGGGTGTTGCGGGGACAGGGAGCCCCTGCTCAGACCCGGGGTGAGCATCTCCGGGGCAAAGCCTCCTCCACGAGCCGTGGGGGCCTGCTAACGGGAACGGTAGAGCCCCACTGATGCGCGGTTCGTCCACTAATAGGTACTGGCGTCTGTTTGTGTTATCGAACTTATCGGCCGCCGTGGCACGGCGTCCCTATAGCAAGAGATAAAGCAGAGATACGCATCCGAGTCAGCCAGTCAGGACGCCCGTGGTTTGCTGCAACATGCTGCTAATACAATCATCGAGCAATAAAGTGCACCCGATAGCTTATCTCTGTCCGATCTGACCGGTACATGTCAGCAAAGCTAGATGGCAAGGGCAAGGGCAAGCACTTGGGCCACCGCGGCGCCAGGCGAGGACCAGAAAGTATGATATGGGCATGGCTGGGCCCCCCGGGGGGGGGGGTCACAGAATTACATCAGGACGAGCATGTCCTCCTGCTGTAGCATCGAGGTCGCGCAGCTTCGAACCTTTTCCCCCCTCCCCCCTCAGGTCCTACTCAACGACATCCGCCGCAAAGTTACTGGAAGAGACTCGGCCTGTAATTCTTCACTGGAGGTACCCTCCGCAACGACAAGATGGTGAATGCTGCTTTGGATCAGAGCGTCGGCTATGGCATTGTCATTGGCCTGGGCGCCCTGTTTGCCGCAGGTATGTCTGCTCAACAGCCAGCTCAAGGGGTCCAAGACAGGAACGAGTGCTGACCATGACAGGCATGATACTCGTCACATTCATTCTGAGACGATATAACAGCGAGCTGCAGACATCTGAGATGTTCAACACCGCTGGTAGGACCGTGAAGTCGGGCCTGGTTGGATCTGCTGTGGTCTCATCGTGGACATGGGCAGCGACCCTTGTATGTGCCCCAGCCCGAAATACCCACAGTCACTGTCAGTCAGGCACGGCGTACTACCTAGGTAGTAGCCATACAGCTGCTGACTTGGAGGATAGCTGCAATCCACCGGCGTGTGTTACCGGTACGGTGTATCTGGTCCCTTCTGGTACGCCTCAGGCGCCACTGTTCAGATCCTCCTTTTTGCAACGCTCGCGATTGAGTTGAAGCGGAGAGCCCCCAACGCGCACACCTTTCTCGAGGTTATCAAGGCCCGCTACGGCACCATTCCACACGTTGTCTTCATGGTATTTGGCCTCGTGACCAATATCCTGGTCTCTCTTATGCTCATTGTCGGCGGCAGCGCGACGGTCAATGCATTGACGGGTATGCATACAGTTGCAGCAATCTACTTGTTGCCTGTCGGTGTGGTGGCATATACGCTCGTTGGCGGCCTCAAGGCGACTATCCTGACCGATTGGATCCACACCTTCATCCTGCTGGTCAATTATCGTCTTCGCCCTTACCGCCTATGCATCTTCTGATGTGTTGGGCTCGCCGAGCGCCGTTTACGATCTTCTAGTCTCGGCCGCCTTGGACCACCCTGTCGATGGCAACAAGGATGGGTCATATCTCACTATGCGATCCAAGGAGGGTGCGATCTTTTTCGTTATCAATATTGTCGGAAACTTCGGTACTGTGTTCCTCGACAACGGCTATTACAACAAGGCCATCGCCGCCTCTCCCGTCCACGCATTGCCTGGCTATATCCTCGGCGGGCTGTCTTGGTTCGCGATTCCTTGGCTGACCGCCACAACAATGGGCCTATCTGCTTTAGCACTCGAGTCAAACCCGCGATTCCCAACTTACCCTGACCGCATGAGTGAGGCAGACGTATCATCTGGGCTGGTACTTCCCTACGCAGCAGTCGCCCTGCTGGGAAAAGGCGGCGCAGTTGCCACTCTACTTATTGTCTTCATGGCTGTGACTTCGGCGACGTCATCTCAACTTATCGCCGTCTCCTCCATCTTTACATATGACCTGTATCGAACCTACTTCAAGCCGGAAGCCAGCGGGAAGCGCTTGATCTGGATGAGCCACTGCATCGTTGTCAGCTATGCCGTCTTTATTGCCAGCTTCTCCGTCGGGCTCCACTATGCAGGCATCTCTATGGGATACCTCTACCTAATGATGGGGGTCATCATCTCAGCCGCCGTCCTACCCGCGACGCTTACTCTCACCTGGTCTGGCCAGAACAAATGGGCTGCTTCTCTATCTCCCATCCTTGGCCTCACCTTTGCCCTCATCGCCTGGCTGGTTACAGCCAAGAAGGAGTGCGGCGATTTGGGAGTATTGTGCACAGGATCCAACAACCCAATGTTGGCCGGGAACGTGGTCGCACTGCTTTCGCCTGCTGTGATTATACCCATCTTGACCCTTGCGTTTGGACTGCAGCATTACGACTGGAAATCAATGATGCTCATTAGACAAGGGGATGACCACGACTTGGCTGTCGCGGCTCACCTTGACCTTGAAAACATTCCCGGTGGCCATGTCGAAACTTCAGCCGAGTTCGATGCAGAGCAGAAGAAGCTGTCAAGGGCGGGCAAGATCAGCAAAACAATGACCGTGGTCTTGACTCTTGCCTTCCTTATCCTCTGGCCGATGCCCATGTATGGCAGCGGCTATATCTTTAGCAAACAGTTCTTCACCGGCTGGGTGGTTGTGGGTATTATATGGATCTTCTGCTCCCTCTTCGCTGTTGGCTTGTTTCCAATATACGAAGGACGCAAGACGCTTGCAGAAACTACCAAGTGCATCATTCGCGACATCTCCGGCAACTACCATCCAGGTAGAATCCAACATTCGATTGAAGGCCAGGGAGAGAAGAGCGACCATGACGAAGCGAAGCAGGCGAAAGAACTTGGGGAGAAAGAATCTCCTGGAGACGTCACACCCACGGAGAAGTAGGCAACGGAAAATTAACGCTGGGAATATGGACCGTTACATATACGAACGAAGTTGAAGACTCGCAGTGGCGACTCTATTTTCGTCACCGAGGCTTTCGTCGGAAGCATGGAATATGCATAAGCCACCAGTCGAAGCCATGGCGGAGAGACTGGATAGGAAATGTGAAAGTAGAGTCGTAAAATTATAATATACCCTTTCGATTGAATATTGATGTAGTAATCAAGGAGATTTGCATTCCCATGGTTCACGTGTAGAATCTAGGTAATTCATCATATGGGATTTGGGGGGGGGGGGGGGACGGGGCGGGCAGCCTACAAGTTCGTCAACTGGTAACAAGCAGAGTAAACATGGAAAGAACTCGTCATAGCTAAAATTTCTCGAGATATCCCTAGGGACTTTTGACACTTTTTCATCGGGAGACACTTACGAACCTGACATGATTGGATTTCATCATCGGAGGTCGTTGTGCCTGGCCACACCGAGAGTCCGTTCACAAATGACTTTTATTCGTGCACAACTGTCTCATGACGGAACCTTGGCTGCACCCTACAATCATCCGAGTACGTATAAAAGCTTAGGTGGTGTGGAATCAGATGAACAAGGGTTGCGCCGATGCGAACTCGGGTCCTTCTTCGGTTGGAACTCAAAGCTCTAACAATCTCCGACTTTGAAGGTTTCATGTTCGTCCCATAACCTTCCCATGATCTTCTGCCGAAGTCTCCGTGCACAATCATCGGGTGTGCATTGGCCAAGACTTTTACGTTCCGTTCTGTTTCTCTGGTTCTGCACCGTGCTGGGCTCCCAAGGGCGAATTGCTTCTTTAGCCTCATGGGTCAAGCTCTACCCGGGCCGAGCTTGGATCTGCAAATAATTTGCTGGCATTTGTGACACACTTTTCGGCTCATAATGTTGGTTCATGCAGACATGCAGTCATTTAGCAGTAGTCACGCTTCCACATATACTGACGTCGGCAGCGAAATCTCCTTAGAGTTGACCATCAACGGTTCCATCTTCGTCGCCAGACGCCGTGTATATACACCTATCTGAATACGACCAGCCACCATCATGTATTTGCTAATCCTCCTTCTGCAAGTTGCTGTATCCTTCGCCGCATCACCCTTCGCGGTAGGTCCACAATGTCTGCCGGTGACTGCTGTGTGTGGCTGACGCTAGCATTTTAATTAGGGTCTCAACATCGCCGGCTTCGATTTTGGCTCTGATATACAGGGAAAGCACAATCTCAGCAGTGCCTTTGGCCCTGTGCTGGCCATAGGCAAGGGCAATAGCGATGGCGCAGCCCAGATGCAGCACTTCGTCCAAGAGGGGCTGAACACTTTCAGATTGCGTGAATATTTTCCAACCTCCACGCCGTCTAAGCTCGTAGGCTAATCCCATGGCGCAGCGACTACGTGGCAATTCATGATCAATAGCAACAATCTTAACGGCAGTGCTGTCAACGTTTCGGCCGGCGCCTTAGCGACATCGGACGGACAGCTGGACCAGAACAATACGGCGCAGTACAATGAGCTCGTCCAAGGATGTCTCGCAACGGGGTCCTACTGTATCATTGATATTCACAACTATGCGCGCTTTGAAGGGCAGGTCATCGGCCAGGGAGGACCAACGAATGAACAATTCGCGAGCTTGTGGTCACAAATTGCCAGCATGGTATGTATATACTCCCGAGGATCAATTGCATGCCCATATCCAGTGGTGAGCATTACTCAGGTACTGACGCCTGGTTCTGGCAGTATAAAAATGAATCCAGAGTCATATTTGGCGTGATGAACGAGCCTCACGATATTCCAGATCTCGCTCTGTGGGCCGACACGGTACAAGCAGCCGTCACTGCTATTCGAACGGCGGGTGCTACCCAGCAAATGATTCTCCTGCCGGGCACTGACTTCACCGGAGCTCAAACATTCGTCAGCAATGGATCTGCGGGGAACCTAAGTCGGGTTCACAACTTGGACGGGTCAAATGCAAGTCTCATATTTGATGTGCACAAATACCTGGACTCAGACGGGAGTGGAACGCATCTCGAGTGTGTTTCAGACCATGTGCAAGATACCTTCACACCTCTTGCGCGCTTCTTAGTCGCCAATGGCCGTAAAGCCATACTCAGCGAGACTGGCGGAGGCAATACCACTTCAGTAGGCGGCCTTCATCACCTTGCTGTCCAAGTATTCGGGACTGACTTTGCCCAGTGTATTACGGACCTCTGCAACGAACTTGCCTTCATCAATTCGAACACGGAAGCTTACATAGGGTATACCGCCTGGTCCGCCGGGGGCTTCTCGCCTCTCGACTACAACTTGACTTTAACACCAAAGGGCTCAGCTGGAAATTTCACTGATCAGGAACTTGCAAGCCGTTGTGTTATCGGCACCAGAACCGGATCGAACGCGACTGCAGGCAATGCCACAAAGGCCACGAGCCCATCACAGAACCCGCAATCCGAGTCCTCTCTGCCGCAGGTTGTGCTTGCTGCTGGTACGCAGAATGTCATTGAGGGTGGATGGATTGGAAGTATTCTAGCAGTGGCTGCGCTGGTATTTTTGTAGGACGAGTAACACACGAGATTAAGGGGACAGAAGATTGGCCCTATGAAATAATTTGTATTCTTTAGCTTGGCTATGTAATGTTTTTCAATGTCTATCGTATAATAAATTGTCCCGTCCGCCTTGTCTGGCCGGTTTCCAAACACTAATTGTCGATACGGGCTCGTGCATATTCAATAAGCCCGGGTCTGAAGCAGGATGACCTTGATCTATTTGACGAGGTCGAGACTCCATCCATGTTGAGATTTCATTTTCCTTCTCAACTGCTATTCCAATGCAAGTGCTCCTCTTCGGCAGGATCCAGTGAGGCTTCCAACCCGAACCCTTTCACAGGGATTGACCTTGGTCCAAGACAGCTTCGCCCCCTCAGCCATGCAAAGGCCAAGACAAACTCATCCCGTCCCGTCCCTTGACCGGTTTATTTCTGTGGCTGACGTCGGCTGAGCCCTGAGCAAACTTCCCCTCCATCATCGAAAGCTCCAGCAAAGACTACTCACGATATCTGGCACTCGCACACAACGCGTCAGCAGCAAAAACGAATCAGTATGCCGAGCAAAGGCGTCCAGGTCTACACCTACATCGCAGCGGGGGGATGCTCTATCGAGCTTTCAGTCCCAGGTCAGACTGTCGTCAAGGACCAGCTGCACCAGTTCTGGAACGGGGACCTCGAGGTCGAGTCCAGCAAGATCGACAATTTCTTCGATAAGACTGGTCGCTTCGTCTTCAAAGTCCTGCATGAGGGTAGGCCGGTCACGGAGCAATGGGTCGAGGTGAACGCTCTCACGGGCAGCGTCGGTCAGGGAACTATGACAACTATCGCAAACACGCACTCAGTTATACACCCGGAACCCAGGATCATCGTCTCTTATGGCTTTTACGAATCAGGCCACGGCCATGATATCCTGCCCAACCGTCACCAGTGCTACATCACGGTCACGCCTGATTATTCAGACTGGCTAGGGCAGGTGGCGCCAATTGGATCGCCTCAGAGAGACCAGCCATTCCGGCGGCTCGTCCTCCCTGCGGCCCATGACGTGGGGATGAATAGCATGCAGAACTGTGCGACAATCCTCAAGCATGCTGGCGGCGCAGTGGTCCGGACCCTCGTCGCAAACGAGGAGAAGTACACGCAAGTGTTGGCAGAGCTTGCCGACAAGCTCTCAGGACCGGCTGTGTCTCTCATAGCGCCGAACATCGTTTCGAGTCTCGCAATCACGCAGAAGGATCCTCTGCCGATCATGCTCGCGCTGGGGGCTAGATACTTCGAGTTTCGGCCTGCTCATTGTCATCACCAGGTTAGGCAACATCTGCCTGACAGACTGTACTTTCAACACAGTGCAATTCCCGGAATGGCTTATGATGAGTTCCTAACAGAGGTCGTCCGGTTCCTGGTCGAACATCCAACCGAGATTATCGTTGTTCAGGTAAGGCCATTTCATGGTACAGGCCACTCAGACCCGTCAACGGCACATGCCATATCAGACCAATAGGACATGCTGCTGACTGCTCAATGTAATAGCTTCGATGGGATGGCGTCCCCGGTGACTGTGAGCGTCCAAATGACGAGCAGCAGAACGAACACATACAGGCTGCCCTGCGTCAATTCGAGGGGCATCAGCAACATGTGATTGCCGGGAACTTGGATGATCTGCGGAACAGAACAATTGGTGATTTGCGTCGCGATCGGCGCAGGCTGATCATGCTCCGGGACGTTGACTCGATGTCCACCTATACGGACGCGGGCAACGCCACGCTCAACGGCGATAGCATCGTCGAGGGCTTCGGCGCCGTACTGCACCCGGAATGCTGCGGGGGGCGTGGCTTCATCAACATCCAGTGCCAGGCAACAGCCTCAAATATACCAAAGGCCGTGGTCTACAGTGTCCTCGAAGCAGGCGCCTCTACAAGCTGTCTATTGGCTACTAAGCCCATATGCGACAGCAAGACACTACCGTGGGTGAAGGGAAACGCGCTGCGTGCTTGTGGTAACAATGACCTTGTGGTTGTTATGAACGATTTCTTTGACGGCGCAACTGCTGATGTGGCGATGGAGCTAAGCCGACAGCGATTGGGATAAACTCAGGAGTGCCGTCGCTCGGAACACAATCAGTTCAGCTTTGGACAGCACAGGAGGTCATGCCGCGGCGACTTCCTAGAATAAACGCTTCGTCAATTGAAGCCTCGACAGTGGTCCCCAATTGTGCTCCACGAAAGCGCATTGGAATACTCGGCTTCTCCGATAAATGGGTGCGTACCGGTCGTGCTCTTCTCCATGCAGCATGACCCCAAGGAAGTTGGCCCGAAGAGATTTTTAAGCGCGTCCAATCTCCAGCGATGAGTAATTATCGGGCTCGCCGCTTATTAAACGGACCGCAGTCGATCGTGCATCGAAAGATTTCCGTGGTTGCATTGTTCTCAATCCCATCCCAGCACGCCTTTCTTCACAGTCAATCTTCTATGCTACCAATCCAGAAGAGGGACGCTGGTAAATGCCTTGAAGCATGGGTATCCTTTGCTCGGAGTTACGCCTTTCGGGAGCTGACAAACCGGACGCGAAAACACAGGCTCGAGGAAAGCCTCTGTGGTTCCCATGATCGTCATGTTGGCGCTGACAAATGATGTGATTGACGGCTGTGCTTTTTCGCACAATATAAGTTGTATTTGCGAGAACGTGTTTGTAGCGGCTTTTTACCTGCATGTGGTTCTCAACTTGAATTTGTCGGAATTGAATTCCCAAATAAAAGTATACGTGTGTTGCATAAGAAAGACCTATCAAGGATTGGATGCGTCAGCCAAAACCCGGAACTCCATGAAGCCATCACGCCCCGCACAGCGCTCTCTGCCTCGCATTGCAGACTTCAGCCTTGGTGAAGATATTGACCTTGCCATCGGGCTTACTGCAGCCGCTCTGGCAGGCAACGAGGCCGTCAAATTAACGACAAGCCAGCAGCACCAGGGCAGTCACCTCATCAAAGCCGGCCTAAGTGCAGCTGTGGCTGCTAGTGCTCTCAAGATGATGCAGCGAGAGCACCAAGACCACCATGAACACCATCACGGTCACAGTGGGGAGCGTACACGGCGCCATCACTCGCGGGGCACACTTGAGGAAAATGGGCGGCACCAACACGAGCATCACGGCTCTTCTGCATATGACAACCAAGCTGAACATTCTCGCAACAATGAGCGCCACTCTGCTTACAGTGGGCACAATCTCGAGAATCGCACACATCACCACCGTCGCCATAGCCTAGACTCGATACATAGCTCGAGGTCGCTTCCAGTAGATCACGAAAATCACAGCTATAACAATCGGCCTGGTGACACACACACGTCGGCTCCATCTCAAGCGCCTTATGGATATGGAATCCCTCATAGCCACGCCCCTTCCAAAGATAAGTCAGGGTCTGCACATTCGGCCCACCCCCTGATTCGGCCCACTCCACACCCGCGTGTACGTTAAGTCTACCCTATCATATATCACGCATTTTCTTTACGACGGAATTTTCTCTTCTCTTTAAACTTTTAATATATTATCATCCATTAATTATAAAGCCATATATAGAAGAAGACGTAAGTATAGCACTTAAGGCGATCTAGGTTAGCGCCAATATTTAAAAGGCCTCCTTATATTAAGGCATCTTAAGAATTATACTTTATAATTATTATTATAATGCTTAAAGCTATTTAAATACCTTAAAATCTTAAATAAGGTTATTATAAACTTAAGAAATATACTTATTTAATTAAGTAATTAATTAAGTAATATTAAGGTTATTAATAATATATTTTAAAATAAGGTTTTTTATAGCTTAAATAGCTACTTTTTAAAAATATTAACTATTTTTTAGTAAGCATTAGCTAAGGGCTTTTCTTATTAAAAATCTTAAGATTTAAAGTATATAAAGCTATTAAATAACTTTAAGTTAAGTAAATAAAATAAAAATAAGTATAATTAAAAAGTAATTTAACCTCTTTTAGCTATTAATAATTATAAATATTTACTTAAAAAATTATTATAATATTAATAAAGAAAGTATAGCTAAGAATAAGGGGAAGAATAGCATTATTTTAAAACTTAAAAAAAGAAAGATTATTACTTAAAAAAGCTATAAGTTATATATATAAACCTCTTTCCTTAAGTGCATTTCTATAATAAGCAAATTATACCCTTTCCTTATTATTTTTAAAAGAAAGTTAATTTAATAATAATAATTTAAAACCCTTAAGGGTTATAAAAATTAAAAGTTTATAATAATGCTAAATAGCTAAATAAATAACGCTATAATACTTAAATAGCTATAAAAAAAAATCTTTATTTCTTAAATAAAGTTAAATGCCCTTAAAGAATAATATTTATTAATAATAAATAAGTATAAAAGCTATTATACTTTAAAATTTATATAAAAATGCTTTTTATATAAGATTTATTATTTTTATTTATATATATATACCTTATATATATTATAACTTCTTAATTTAAGAATATTTTCTAACCTTAAGATAATATATAAAAAAAAAGTAAGTTTTTTAAACTTTTATATTAATAATACTTATATTAAAAAGCAATTATTCCTTTATTATTATTAAAAGGTAAGATTTATAATATTTAAAAAAAAGTATATACTTTTTAAGTAATAAGAAATTAATTTATAGCTAATTAATATAGCTAAACTATTAATAAATATAATTATATTTAAAAACTTTAATAAAATAATATTTATACTTATTTTTAATAACGTTATAAGAATTAAAAAACTTAAATTAATTACTTTAATACTTATTAAGCTATAAAAAAAGGTTTTTTTAATCTTTAAAGCATTTTAAGAAATATAAGTTGCTTTTGCTAATTATAATTTATAAAAATACTTAATTATAACTTAATAATTACTCTTTAAAAAGATTTAAAAAGAATATAATAAGAAAGATTAATAATTAATAATGCTTTTATAAGAAAATTAAGTTCTTAAAGATAAATTAATAGCTATAATACTTTAAAAAAAAAGGGAAGGTTAAAATAAGCTTAAACTTTATATTTATTAAAATTAAGTATATATATAGGGTATAAATTAATGCCGGCATAATTAAGGATAACTTAATAAAAATAAATACTTTTAAAAATACCATAGATATAAAGGAATGCATTGTTATGGGTAGTAATGATGATTTAGAGTGACTTTAATTAAAGGGGTGATGTGGCGAGGAGGACCGTTTTGGTGGGCCGAATCAGGGGGTGGGCCGAATGTGCAGACCCTGACTTACGACGGCGCTTGACCGGCTAACGGCGCCGGATAGTGGCCACCATCATGTGCACTTCTCAGACGATTGTGGCCAAGAGAGCCCAAGAAGCTCTAGGTGATGAACATAGTGACTGGACTGAGTGACTGGACTGGAGCGTCGTATTGAGCATATTTTGGGTCTCTTTTCGAACATCATACTAAATCACACCTTGGCGTGCAACTGGCTTCCCATGGGTTTCAATAAGGGCAAAATAGTGGCTCGAACATACCTAAATGAGATGCCACGCATGTTAACACCACAATGAACTACAGCTAATACGTTAATAGCCTTCATGAATAACTCCGCGTGCCGCATTCTGGTTATTCATGGACCTATAGATATGGGGCGGAATTAAAAGGAAATTCGCAATATCTTCGCTCATGACTGTACATTGTTTCTGGAGTTAGATACTCGGACGGAAGTCAACGCCTTGAATATGGCTATGTGGATACCAGTAATTATGTCCATTCCATGCAACATATTTCACATGGTTGTAATATCCTTATATACATCACGACATATATTCAATAATAAGATGTACAATATTTTCACACACAGACACGTGCGTCTTGCTTTAATACAAGAGCCTGAGAAGCATTGAAGGACAGGGTTGCTATATTTCTAAATGGAAGGCAATGTGTATATCTACACCTCCTCAGGGGTCCCAAATGTTAAATGCCCTCGTATCGTTATATTTAACCCCCTTATTGCAACCATATTACTTTTCTAGCACTTTCCATATAAAAGATACCTTAAGTATATAAATCGCTTAAATATAGCTAATAAGTTATTATTATTATTACTTACTATTAATACCAACCTTATTAGCCACAATAAATCTCCATTTATTACTTTATATATTATATATATCACGCATTTACTACCTCTTTAAGCGCTTTATTATTACCGCCAGCCCTTTTGCTTAACGCTAAGCATATTATCACCATGCCAAAAAGCTTTCTTATAATAAAAGGCATTATATATATATTTTCCATAAGGATGTTAGTTAAACCCTTAAGCATATTATTAAATATATAAAGCATACCCCTTAATAAATATAATATATTATAACTTAACCCCTAACCCCTTAAAAGAATTAAAAGCTATAATATAACTTATAATTACCTTAATACATAAAATTATAATAATATTATAGTTTAGGCTTTGCTCATTATAATTAATCAGCAGGCTTTAGCTTTATAAGAATAAGCTTTGGCGTAAATATAAATAAAAAGCGGATTTCTTCCTTTGCACTTTAAATATAAACCTTATTTAAGTACCTTATAGTAAATAACTTAAGGTTAGCTTATAATATATATTTAAAGTCCTTTTATATTATAAACCTATAATATAATTATATAAAACTTAATATAGCAAGACTTAAAAAGAATAATAATAGCTTATTAAGCCCTTTTTTATTTTAAAAAATTCTTATCTTAAGAATATTTAATAACTTAGCTAATAAAAATAAGGGCTAAGTTTATAATAAATAAGGAAGTAATTAACGCTAAAAAAGCTTAATTCTTTTATATATTTATTTAACTAGGAATTTTCCGCAATTAATTTTTACCTTATATTAATTTTATAAAAATATTTAAAGAGCAGCTAAAAAGCTTTTTAAAAAAGATTTGCTTTATGCTTAAGAACCCTTTTAAGCAAAGGCATATTAAGCTTAGCTTAATTATATTATAGCAACGTTATAAAAAGGGGGTAATAAAAATTTTTACTTAGTTTAATTAATTAACTTATATAATAAAAACTTAAAATTAGCTAAATAAATATAAAATATTATTAATAGCT